GAAGCAACATTGGAAAATGGGACGAAGTAGTTCAGATTCGACATCGTTAAAAAGAGACAATGATACTGATTCTATCAGAAGTGGTTCTCGAGACAGATCGCCTAGTCCCTTCAAATCTTTTTTCCACAGGATGGGTTCTACAGGAATGTTAAATTCAGCTAAATCTCAGTCACTAAATATGCACAAAACTCCTGAAAACTATCCTGTAGCTAATGGGCCATCTTTATATCGTAGTTGTTCTACATCTCATCTATCCACTTACGTAAAAGCTGATGACCCGTCAGACGATATTGATTTACAAAATGCTGATAATGAAAATAAAAGTTCGCCTAAGAAACACAATGTTTTGTCTGAAGACACTTTGGTTACGTCATCAGCGAAAGCAGTCAGTTGTGACAATATAACTAATCTAAATGACGGACAAACCAATAACGGGGCTTCCAAAAAGCCAAATTTTCCTTATGCGTTCTTAAGATCAAAATTATCAGTATTGCCTGAAGAAAATAGTATGGCCTCTCAGCAAAGGACCAGTGTTATGAGACAAAGTTTATCTGAAAGAATAGATAGGAAATCACCGAAATTTCGAAAAGACAAAATGTGTTTTACGAATTCTCGATCAGAAGAAAGATATCAGAGTAGTGACAGCATATCTATTCACGATGAAAATATTCTATTTAACAATGCTTTAAGAAAAGATTACGACTTCTCACGAAGTTCTATGAGAAGCATAAATGAAATAGATGACAGTATGTATCAGATTGGACGCATGGATGACGTTCCTCGAAGATCATCAATGATTTCTCACAGAACACCTTTAGATTATGATCCTATGCTTATTCCGCGAAACAGAAATAGTTTACCGGTGTATGAATACAGTTCTGTATTAGGTTCGCTGCGAGATATTAAAACCGAAATAACTTCATCTTCACAGAGCATTCATCATGCGCCAGAACAAGCTGAAGTGCAAACCCATCGCCTTAGTAATTATGTTAGCTCCAATGAATCTGGATATGATAGTGATGGTCGACCCACCGATGACCATAGTAACCATTCTCCACCAGGATACTCATCACATTTTAATAATGGTAACGTTCGTAAGGAATCTATGGATATGAATTACGAAGGGAACCATGGAAATTTTTCAAGACAGTATAGTTTAAATCACAAAATCAATTTCGGCCGAGTGCAAGTTCCAATCAGACGAAGTTCTACCCCGTGTGCATTATTTCCGGTAGAGAAAAGTAACTCTTACGATTACGGAAATGAAAGCAAAGATAACATCCATAAATTTCCTAGTGAGAGCATAAAAAATAATATGTATGAACATATAGATTCGAAACCACCGCCGCTTCCAAAGAAAACTATCAAAAAACAGCCTTATGTATACAAAACGATAACATTAGACGAAAGAGTTCAGACAAGAAAAATAAAGTTTTTACATTCCCAGTTGATACCTATTGAACAATCAGTAAACCAAGATATTGCCGTAGAGAATCCTACTCCAATGCATCATGTGTCTGAAACCGATATTTTAGGAAGAGGGCCTTGCACTAAACGGTTTAGAAAAATAAGACTATTAAAATCGAGGCTAGATGAGAGTCTTGGTGTTTATTTAGCACAACACAGGGTAGATTTTGATAGCAGCGGTTCAAATTTTGAAATTCGATACATTATTGTCAAGTTAGACTTTGACGGTATAGCTCATCGAGATGGAAGATTGCGGATAGGTGACGAAATAGTAAATGTCAATGGCAGAGTGTTGCGAGGTCTATCTTCACTTAAAGAAGTACAGCATATAGTTAATTCCTGTTCAACTGAAGCTACGATTGAAGACGGAGCATTATTTCAAAGATATCAAGTGGACCTTGTAATGGCCCACGATGAAATCACGCCCATAACGTTAAGTAGAATTATTAATAATCAGCCATTAGAACAAAATTCAGTCACTCTTCCGACATCAAATGTTCCTCCGGACATTATATCACAGACTGTACATAAACCATTACCTTCGAACCAAATAACAATTGAAACACATTTTCCAGCGGACAACCAATTCTATCACAATAATATTAGCAATAGAACCAAAGAACATTCAACCGAACAGTTAAATTGTGATTCTAATTCACGATCCGATCATCAAAGAAAATGTGAAGTTGGTATCCAGGTTAATAATGGTCCGATTCTCTCAAACCAGAAGAGTGACGATGAAAAGTTGCTAGAGAGGCACTGCTATTCTCAGTCGGCTTCATTGCAAAACATTACGAATATTGAAATTTCAGTAAGGTCATCACCAACACCCAGATCTAATCAGGGTAACAATTACAGACCAATATCGTTTCATACTTCTAGACCTCCATCAACAGGGCCTTACTCCGTCTATGGTGATAATGCAACTAACGAAATTAAAGAAAATAACTTTTCACATTACATTAAACACGTACCGAGGCTGTATCAGAACAGATCATTTGAAAGCATTCCTGAACAATTGAGAAATAGTAGTCGAAGTAGATTTTTCAGCAGAGTTGGTTCTCAGCGGTGCTCTCCCAGTCCAAGCCCGCATATATCGAGACTACAAGAACATCCAGCGGCCTTACATCAGGATAACCATCAACACGGAGGACACTACGCGCACAGTTCGTTACACAAAGTTGAATTTTGGAAAGGCCAGGGACATAAAAGCCTTGGTTTTAGTATTGTGGGTGGAACAGATTCGCCAAAGGGCCAAATGGGTATTTTTGTGAAAACCGTATTTCCAAATGGACAAGCGGCTGATAAGGGTACCATTTTTGAAGGTAAATAATAATTTACATTTTTTGATTTCCTATTCGCCATATGTTTACATAATTCTAAATGTAATAATGCATTTATTTTCATTATAGGTGATGAGATACTATCAGTAAACAATGTGCCTACCCGTGGGTTAAGCCATGCTGGGGCCATATCTCTCTTCAAACAAGTTAAAGAAGGAAAAATTGAACTGACGCTTTCAAGAAGAAGGTAAATAACTGAACATAGTAATGTATTACTAGCTTCCGCCCGCGTCTTCGCACGCGTATAAAAGTAATGTATCCCGAGATTTTAAAAACAGCAGCGTTCAAAGCGATATCTAATCAAGTATAATCAGTGCCGGCGTAAAGGCCACTGACACTCCGGGCGAAAATATTGTGGCGCCCACTTGAAGAAAGCAATATCAAGTGTTAGTTTTTTGCTGATCGTATTGATATCGTTAGAGTCGGTCCTCAACAACAAACCCTCAAAAAATCCATCTTAAAAAAATCTGAATCCAAAATATGCATATGCACAGAGCGTAGAGCACAGTTTTGAGGGTTTGCACCAGGAGAGGCAAGAGACCCCAACCTATATCACTCAGGGACATTGTACCTATATATCAGTAAAACAATTTTGGAAATTCGACCAATAATTACGAAGATATCCTGCTACATACAAACTTACAAATTTTACCTCTTAATAATATTAGTATAGTTATATCATTAATATCATATTATAAGATCAAAAGTAAGTTTCTTTTAACACATAAATATTTATTTTTCAGAGCACCTAGGTCGAGATCTGTGGAACCTCTCGGCAACTTCCGCGGCGATGTGAAACGGGATTAACATGCATTTGTATCCCAAAGAGACGAAAGGTGTTTTCGAGTGCAATAATATTACATGTTATTCATTTTAGCCAAAGGCAACTTCAGGAACAGATGTTTCACAGATGCTTCGTTCATTTTAAGTGTCTTCGGTATTAAATAATATTAATTATCTATCTTTAAAAGTTAACGATATTGTTATTGTATGACGAATATTATGTAGGATGGTATTGTATCATAAATATATCATCTTTATAAATATTCTTATGGATTATGATGGTAAAATGGGGCTACACAAAACGCTTGGTTATACAATAACTTTTCCAGTACGTAAATAGGACTGTTCTTTTATATTGTATAAAACTTATTTGAATATAATTCAATAACCAGCTGGCTAAACTTGTTATAATATATTAGCCCCATTGTACGCCATTTTAAATCTAATACTTACGCTAAATTTTCTTAGCTTTGTAAAATAAGACTGTATGTATAGCTGTAGCTACTGTTATATTTTCGTTGTAGTCTGTTATATGATAGGTATTGTTAAAGTATGTTAGGAATGCTAGATCTCGTTATTTACTGTAACTTGTATATACTAGTAGTCATAGAACATTTTGTTACGATGTTATCTATCAATGAAGACTAGACTTCCTTAACAACACCACATGACAATTAGAAAGGCAATCAGACTGATATTTAAATAATTATGTGTGTACCTATATAACTGCCAAAGCTTTAGAGTTAGCAAGAAAAACATCGAACACATTTTCCCAACCAACCAAAATAATAAGACGCGTGACGCGACGATACACGTCGTTCACTCTCGGACGACTCGACCATCCTTGACGACGAAACAACGATCAAATTGATTTATATCAGAAGATATCGTAGAACAATTACCACTATCGACTTACTATATGTATGTGATGATATTATATAAAATATTCAGCGAATTTACTCCGTCCATTATAAAGTCCATGAATTTGGCTTATTGTAATCTGAATGGCATAAATCAACTTTAAATCCAAATGACAAAAATTGAAACACGACATAAGTATGATAGCCTTTAGAGTTCGAGCAGCATCTATCATGTAATCCATCCATAAATTCATCCACAGAATTGTGTGTTACATTTAATGTAAATAAATTGCAATACCTCAATGCTTTTAAAATTATACACGAATATATCATAATATATTTTTTTATTTATCTCAACAAATACTCCATGATCAAACATACAAAGAAAAAAATGTCAAAATACTTTACCTGCAGTACCAATCTACTTCCTTATTAATGTGGACAAGCTGAGAAGTAAGGAACTACAATCTTTGCTCTTGATCCACATAATAAAACCTACTCCTTCGACTTCGCCTAAAAATTTACACATATAAGATGTGTGTCGATGTTACTTAATGTCGCATAACATGGCGACTCCTCTTAGAATCCAGTGCTCGGGACTCTTGGCGGATGGTAGCCAGAGCGGGGTGATAAAAGTTAAGCCAGTACGCACTGGCTTTTTGTACACCGGACACTAGAAAATAATAAACAATATAAACATGTATTTTCCAAGTAAATATTCTGATACAATTTGATTTAAGAATGGATAAATTTGATAATAACCTGGTATAGTTTAGGGTCCTTGGGTGCCGTAGAGTTGATCGCATATACGTGTATTACCGGTAACACAGCGTACACTACTTTTATAGTAGACTCACACAGACGCATGTTACGACGATCCCAACCTGCACCTTCCAGGTATATACCATGTATGTACACACCTTCCTAAATGGGCAATAAAGTTAAGAATTGTAATGCGTTTCAATAAAAAATCTAACAGAGAAACCAACGTGTATAATATAGGTATCCTACCTATAATATTAACAATCTGCCGTACTGGCCATTTTTAGGCTGATAATTCTAATTTCAAATCAATTTAATTTTATCGTCATTTGTTTAACAGTTAGTGTTTTTTTCAACGCTTTCGATTATTCCTCGTTGTCGCGGATAAGATAATTTAACAGAAATACGCTTCATTTATTTAATAAAAACGGGAATTTCATAGGTATACCTGAGAGAGATATTATTATTCTTACCGGAGGTGGCGCTTTTATTTCCTCCAATGGAAATTTAGTAACATCATTGTGTAAGGTGACCATGTCCAGAGCCCAGCCTTTGTGTGCTCGAGTTACTTCCTGACGCATGGCGGTCAAAAAACCTAAAAGGAAGAGTGTGAACTTTAGATTAGCAGTTCGTATTTATTATTTTCCCTATTTCATTAGAAAATTATGTTCTTAACCTTGTGGATTAAAGAATCCCGTCATCCAGAATGAATTTGGTCTCGCTTGGAAGCACCACGTGGAGAATTGTATGGTTCTTTCCAAAAACTCAGTAAACCAAAAACCTAATGTTGAAGACGACCAAGAACTCTTCTTCCAAATCTCTGGAACTTTAGCATCATAGATGCTGTCTAAAGAATCTCGGAGAGCCTATAACAAAATCGACATTAGGTACATATTATAAACTTTGCTATGTAGGATAATGTGTGGTCCAGTCTATTTCCAACTTGGTAACCTGACAAATAACTAGCGTTTAGATGAACTAATTACACACAATTGTTAAATTTGAATACTCAGAATATTAAAATGCGTTACCTCATTCATAATTATTGTACCATCAATAGCGAGCAGTAAGTCTTTCAAAGTTGTCCTGACAAGTGTTATTACTTTCTGCATGCGATCAATTTCTTGTCTCAAAAAGATCACCATTGAATTCAGGATACCGTATAATCTCAACCTAAAAGTACAAAACATGAGGATGTAAATAGGGCGCAGTGGTTTGAGAATTGTGAGCATATTAATAATATGCATATATTGGTCGATTTCAAAAAAGTCCATTAACCTTGCAAGTACTTCATGAGGGTCAAAGTCAAGAGGGACTTTGTCTAGCATTTCCTTAGATTGTCTATAGACTGAAGCCTCACGGGTTTCCCCACCTCCTGCACTTGACTCCTTGGGCTGAATCGACAGTATGGTATCTAATAGTTCTTGAGTAGTATTGCGCTGATACCTGTAAGCCAGAATTTCTCTTTGGTATATAAAAGTCATAAAAAAATATAAAGCAATGTAACAATGAATATATTTATGCAAATAGGCCATAAAAAGAGCCCTTTTCAAAATGATATATAGGTACACAAAAAACTAGATAGGCTTTTCCTAATTGACCATTCTAAGAATAATGCCGAAACAAACTCAGAGGTTAGCCTCTTCTAAAGTCCAGAGACTCTTTTGAAATAAAGAACCGTAAACTCACGTAATATCCGCATTGGAGTGCAAACCGTACGCTTGAGGGGGATCCACAGTTTTCATTGTCTCAATAACTTCGATGTACTCCGGTATATTCTTAAACTTGAGAATGCCATATCCCTTGTAGAACTGGAAATCGTCGTTAAATATTTGGTCTGAGAACCAAACTTTACAGAAAGTGCCAAGTAATCGATTGTCATAGTCATCCGTGACTCTCCCGCCGTATTCTACCGCAGACACCATGTAACTATGGCAAAAGACGTTTTAATAAATATAATAGTGAAGAAATTGTAACTTCACAAAAAAGTATTAGCAACCTACCGCACAGTTGTCCAGCTAACAGGCTGTCCTGGCTCCAGAGAATCTAAATGGTTCTGCACAAACATACAAGAAGACAACCAGTCCGCAGAATTAAATTCGTAAGGAATATTCCATCCGAGAGGACCGAACTTCCGTCTCTCTTGCACTACTGTGTGTAAGAATGAGATAGTGTAGATCAGGGGCAAATAGAAGGGACTGTCACTGTAGTCAAGGAAATCCTGACTCATCGCGTCGTATGTTCTCATAAGTCCCGCTTTTATACCTTAAAATAAAAAAAATATATTTACAAATCGTGGCTATGGAAGGAGCTAATTACACTTATCATTAGGGAATTCGTCTGCTCGTAAGCCTCCTAATCCATAACAAAAAAAAAGTATTTCTTTATTAGAATTGGATGCAAAGTCAACAGGTGGCTTACTTCACGCTTTGTGATCAGGCAGCGGCGCCATCGGACACTAAATAATTTATGTTTCAGAGCCTAATTAACACATTCAGTGCCCCCGACGCGTATGTGCGTTTCCTCGCACGCACATACGCGTCGGGGGCACTGAATGTGTTAATGAACAAGATCCGATACTAGAAAATTTCGTAAATGTTTAATGTGTGGCGGTTAATAGGCCATTTTGACAATGTCCTTTAAAGAAAAAGACAATTTTTCGGAATTTTAAAATGACTTACATACGTATATTGTTTATCCAACAGGGGCTGTACAAGAAATGAACTGATGTGTCGTCGATGAATCTCTCTGTCTTCTATGACATTGTAACAACTGCTTATAAACTTACCAGATGGTGGTTCACACGTGTACTTTATAGACATTTGCAGAAGAGTAATTGGAAACTTTGGGTGAACCTCCGTTGTGATCCACAATCTAAAATGGAAATATTTTGTCATGAGATTGCTCATTAAAACAGTAACAATACGAAACCAGAACTGGCAGTTGATAAATTACCTAAAGTATTCATGTATTGACTCTGGGTCTTTTTCAAGTTCACCAAACTGTTCCATGACCTCCACCATATAATCTAACCCTAAATGGCAATTTTGAAGTAACACCCAGATACCCTGAAAATTTAAATTGATCTTTATATTATTTTAATTGAACATTTGTTTTAAACTCCATTATATTATAATGATAATGATCACCTCTTTCAGTCCTCGTTCTATAAGTTTCCTTGCGTGAATCTCTTGACCTTGGCCCATAGATATAGATGAACAAATAATCTCCAGACGCTTAGCAGTTATCTCGATAGAAGGCGTAGGATCAGACCCCATCGCCAAAAAGCCAATCAGGGGAACCAATGGACGAGATTCTAATACCATTTGCTGAAAGTAAGCAGTTTTGTTGGTATTAAGATTACAGTACGTTTTTATTTCTTCACATAATATTGACAGATATTTCTTAAATTTCTGTAAAAATAATCATTAAATGATGTTTCTAAATGATTTCTACAATAGGTACGTCAGTTTATTTTCTTTTTACAATAATCATAAGATTACAAATCTTATGATTAACTGCTGCGCTTTAGATTTGCAGTACTTAAGTTAATGGTAAGTCTAACGCACGAACGAAATACAAATACATTTTTGTAAAAGATAAAAATATTAACTATATTTACTAGTCATATATATCAATGTCTATAATAATACCTATAAAGCCATCTGCAATAATAAAATGAAAAGTAAATTTGAAAAACCTCAAAATTCTAAGCAACATTATACAATTACAAACATACATAATTATATTATTTGTAAAGTAGACAAAGAACGCATTAAAATTGAACGTCATCAACTTAGGTACCTCGTAGTTGACAATGACAGCTTCAGAGTACCGACTTCCCATAGAACTCACAACATATTTCCTGTAATATGAACATAGCATAAAACACATGTGTTGACATTTAAGTGTGGGAGAGCCAAGTTACGGCACGAATGGGTCGGCTCGACCGGCCTTACAGAAAACCGGTGTGAAACAACCTCAGCGTTGTGTTTCGCCGTGTAAGTGAGGTTACCGGAGGCCCAATCCCTTCCCCTTTCCTATCCTTTTCCATTCCTTAAATATCCGCAACCCTTATCTCCAAAAGGCCGACAACGCACTCGTAACTCCTTTGGTGTTGCTGGTTTCTTTAGGCGGCACCGTTTGCTTACCATCAGGTAATACGTTTGCAAGTTTGCCGACTTAACCCATAAAAAAATATAAGCAATAGCCACGAGCCAAACTACTCACAAGCTCTGAGCTAAAGTCCTGTCGGGACACCACGAGCGCACTACTAGCAGCTTTCTGAAGATGTCTAGAACGTTGTAGCCATCAGGTAATGGCTCCTCTTCTGGCGCTTCCTTGTCAAACCTTTTAAACAAAGAGGAATTCCTTATTTCTTTATAACCGATACAATCGACTCGTAGGTACTCAATATGATATCTATTTTATTGTAGGTATATTTATTCTTTATGCAACATAGAATTTTATAGGTGGACTTACTGCCATACGCATTTTTATCAGTCTTCTTAGGGTGATGCAGAGAGAATTTGGTAGATTGAATTAAAAAAAAATCAGAGATTCCTTTAAGTTGCTACTGCAATCAAATAGCCCGTTTTGCTCGAGACTTGGTTGGGGTATGGCTATGCCAAAAGTACACAGTAAATACATATTTTTACACACCATGCTTTCCAACCCTTTTCATTATTGGTCACTTGATTCAGTATATTCGTAAACTGACGTAAACCGGACAGCTGGACCAAGTTCAGCCATGACATATCTGTTATCCATTTAAAAGGTTTTGGAGGGCAAGCATTCAAATCCAACGCTGCGCCACCTGTACACAAATAGTATATTATATTTTTGTTTTACAATCTTGATGTAAAGGGTTGTATTGGCCCGGAGGTGGTTAAGGCGCCCGCTTCTCGTGCATGAAGGTTCGAGAACTGGCAAGTGCCAATGTGGCTTTTTCCGCGTTATATGTACTTGTTATGATTATTTAGAGACCACTGACATACGGTGAAGGAAAACGTCGTGAGGAAACCTGGACCTACCTATAATTTCTAATTGTAAGTTTGAAACCGCCAATCTGCCTATATCAAGCGTGATGATTAATGCTCAAACCTTCTTCGTGCGAGAAGAGGCTTTTGCTCAGTAGTGAACCCGTACAGGTTGAGGATGTAATGATGTGTGATGTGATATGAAGGTAGTAGAAATATAAGTCACCTTTGATAAAAGTCTGGAATTCTTCAAAAGACACGTAGCCTCTCTGTAAGTCTATTTTCAAAGTTAAGAGCAATGTAAACAGATATTTGTGTTGTTCATAATATCCCCGGTTGATGAATTTGAAGACATCGTAAGTCTGTATGAGACAATAATAGAAATTAGTTTGGGCCATTTTAAATGAACTAATTTTTTATACAACTACAATTTTGCTTCTTCCAAAATACAACTTATTTTAATTAAATGCCTACAAAATCACCAGAGCTTTTTAAGAGTCAATCACTCTTGTAGTTTTTTAAAAAGTCGATAAATCAATGTAACTAACAGAAAATATAAAAAAAACTTAACAACATAAATAAAATAATACATAAGTCTTGACCAAACTTTTAAAGATTCAGAAATTTACTATCTTACATTATAGAAAAAAAATAAAATACCGACCTAAAAATGGTTAAGAATACGAGAACTTGCAAGATTTTGTCACCTTGCGTTATTATCGTCGTACGATATAGCAAAATGTCAACGCTAACCAAATACTCAATAATGAAGCCAATCCTCCTGAATGTAATGGGGCTTTGTGGCGAGCGTTCCAGCGAAATATCGAAGCGCTCGAGGAACTGCGCCAGCGATGTCTGGTACATGTTGCAAACAAGAGACATGTTGCAGATAAGGAAGTACAGGACGGAGCCACGTGTCGCCACCGGCCGGTACTCCTCACGAGCCACGTTAATCTTCATCTCCGTCTCTTTCGCGACATCTAGCTTCTCTCTTACCTAAGTGTTTAAGGTTAATTAGTGTTATTATCATAAACGGTACAGAAGGCCAGGATACAAAATTTATTGTCACTCAAGTGTGTTGTAGGGACCAACTGGGATTTGAAGATTTATTGATAGATCGAAAATAGTTTCATGAATTTTCTTTCTGCGGTAGGAGAAGGGAGAACCGATAGTTCTCTAAACTGTGAGGTGTAACTTTTATTACAGTGTTTGGGCGTGACAGATATTGCCGTTGCATAAGCCTCACCTCTACCTCTGACAATGATAGGATTTTAATCTGCGAATTTTAGTGGGGTTGACCGACTCAGGGGGCAGAACTAGGACCCTTTCAAAACTCTCCCACTGTTGTTAGCCACCCGGGGTTGCGGGGTAAGCGCAATGAGGCACCGCGACCTCGGCCCAGAGCAGGAGAAGGAACAGGGGGGTTTTTAGTCAGTAAGAGTCTAACACTCCCTCCCGCCCGACCCTGGGCAGGAGAAGTCATTTGATGACTTTCCCCTTACAAAAAAAACTGTTGTTAACCACGATGAAATCGGCAGATTTTTTTAATTGCTCATTCTTTTGCGTGTAATAACCTAACCATTATATTTTTTGCACCAATTCGTGGGCTCATCTACTATAATAAACTGTACCCCATACAAGTGTTGGATATTTTGCAACCAAGGAAATCATAAGTTTTTGAAAGCAACGTACCTCAGTGGCGGTTACTTTAGTAACGTTCAATACTTGAATGAGAGATACATCTTCAACAAGCGAGCCTTGTATAGTGGTTAACTTGTGCAGCAAATTGGCTTCTAATTCCTGCATCTTGCGTCGGTTGGCCGTCACATCCATAATCAGTTGAGTTCGTTCCGCTTCCATCTCCTGCTTTTCTTTTAAGATCACACGACCTAGTAGCTGGTCTTCTAGACCTGTTGTAACAGTAAACATTTACAGGTATAAGTAAAATGTAAGATGTAAGGAGTTCTCTAGTTTTGATAACTATACTTAAAAAATACCTTGCATCGTGACAGTAAAGTCTATAATTGAAGTTCTAGCCGATATCTCAGGCGTGTAGGCGGGATTAGGTAGTTTCGTAGTTATGTATATCCTGTGGCCTGCCGTTACGTCTATCTCTTTGTCTCCCAATTTAACCTGAAACATCGTCTTTGTTATTGTAATAATTGATAGGTATCTAAAATGATATCTTTTATAAACTTCTATAATATACAGACGGTTGTGTACAGTTATATACACACACATACAAATTGAGTGACTACATACAGCCTCAATGAACAGTCAGCGTCATATATAGCGCCATTCAGGATACTCAATTGTATAGTTAAAAAAAATATAGTAAAATTTAAAAATTATACAGTATACTGTACTCAATGTTGAGAAGACTATAATAAATTAATATATAATAAAGACGCATGAAAACTACCAACATTTTAGTACAACGATTGAGTCACCTTATAGATAGGTTTACCCAAAGCGTCGACGCTAACTGTACAATAAGCTGCGCAATCTATACTAGTATTATAAAGAGGTAAAATTTTTAAGTTTGTATGTAGGGGGGTAATCTTTGGAACCGCTGGTCGGGTTGTCAAAATTCTTTCACTGATAGATAGCTCCAATGTTCCTGAGTGCTATAGGCTATAAAACATCATGCTACGATTAAATAGAGCCGAGCAGTGGGTGAAACCGCGCGAGAGTAGCTAGTATTAAATAAAACACATGTACATTATCTAAATATTACCTTGTACGTAGAACCGACTTTGATGTAATTCTTTTCAAGAACATTATCTAGTACTGGGTCTAAGTCTTCAAACACATCTTCAATTAGCATGGGTCTTCCTAATGATACACAATCCTCAATGTGATTCCTACGCAAACACAAACATTGTGTTAATATTTAGGTGAGAAAATCACTAGTCAATGCCATTTCGTACTTTCTCTTATTATAAATTGTATATTTACCTAAAGTATTTGTGATTTAGGGTCGTAACAATTAAGTCATTGTGTTTCTCAGTATTCTTGATCCAGATCTTTCCCTGGATCTGTGGATCGATCAGCAACGGGTAGCGTGCTGCTTTTGTCACAATTATACCATTTTGTATCGATAATTCGTCAGTTGGCAACCCACACAAATTCCATTCTCCAATCTAAAGGGATTATTAAATGTTTTTAACATGCAGTACTGTATTGTTGTGAGTTACTATGATATTGATCTTTTAGATATAATCATTAGAATATACTGATCTGATCATACGCTCTAACCCAGCGTCAGACCACAAGTATGTCTGAGTATTTAAGGTTTGGATCCTAAATATTTTTGGGTTATTCCCGATGATTTAAACTCAAATATTTTTCTACTAAAATTACCGTAGCAGTGTCAGTCAACTGTTCAGTTATATTCAAATTCATAGACACAGGAATCTTTCTGCGCAACAGTTCACCGAGCCAGTTCGATGTCAACAAAGTTCGGAACTCTTGGTTAAACGGTCCGGAATAAGATAAAAATCTGCAAAACCATAGAATTAAATGCATCATCATTTTCCCTGCTTTAGCTCAATAGACAATGTTTTGGTAATTGGTCAGTGTTTTGTAAAGCTACAGCGAATATAGACACAAGGCCTGGCAGAAACGACGTATACAAAACAATGATCCTCGGTATTTCAGTCAGACATAGAAGATACCAACACGTATTACATACACCCTTTTTCGTCTAACGAAGATTGATCATAACAAAAAAAAAAATCGAACCCAGTGAGCAGCAGGATGTCACCGACTAAACGCTCAATCTCAGCCTTAAAGAGCGCAGATTGCTCTGTCCAGCGGATACGTTCTCCACTGAGACCGTTAATGAGAGCCGTAGCGGCATCCATCTTCTGTTGGCACTTGGCTGCATCGTCCAGTACCGCCTGTTTCAGCGTCATCGCGTCGTCGAACTGCTTTTGGACGTGTGCCAACTCTCGCTGTGGGGTGATCACATTATGTATTTATTCATATATCTCACTTTATAACGTGACTAGTCATGATGTAAAATTAAAAACATTATAATATTACCAAAGTTCAGATAAGTGAATCTACTGCCATTAGTGCCAGTTCAAGTTATATCACCAACTATATGCTGTACCTGTGTCTGTCTCGGGGAAGTCTTTACTTCCTTCATCTCAGACAGGTACAGGCTACAGAGAACAAAGGTTGTCTGGTAGATACAGCTTTTAGCGATAAGACCCTTGTTTGTACCCTTAACTGTTTTTGTACACTTCATCTTTTTGTACAATATAGATTATTTATTCGTTTTAGAGCTAGCAAGTACATACCTCCTTCGCTTCGAGCTGTGCCTCAGCTGCTTCCAGTTCCTTCTTAGCAGCTTGATACTTGCCCTGCATCACAGCTAGATTCGCCTTTAATGGCAGCACGTCCTTGTTCACAGAATAAAATTGTGCCATGGCGATTGTCCACGAAATTAAGCCAGCAACGTTGCCGCAAGCTATTTTTGCTGCCTCAAAAGTATACTGACTGTAATTAAAAAAACATTTTTAGACGCATTTACAAAGATTCTGAACCAACAGTGCTGTCGATAAAGAAGCTTATCTTACGGATATTGGAAATAAGGCTGTAGTAAATCAACCATTTCCGCATTAATTTCATCTTTTGGATAGTTCTTCAAATTGCTCAAAAATCTGGCATCAGCCATAACCTGGAAAATAAATTTGATTATAACTTATATATTAAAATATTTTAAAAGTCACAGCTATAATAATATTATCATATTACCTTTAGAGACTCAGCCCAAGAAGCAGTCAGACATTGTTTTTCAGGATCTGGTTTAATAGGATCGATACGCTTTCTAAATAGAATAATGACAGCGTCCATAATGAGCGTGATAAGATGAGGAGGTTTGCCCAGCTTCCTGACGGTGGCAATATCAGCAGCATTGATGGTCTGTAACCGTGATCGTGTTAGATAGTTGATTTATTCGTTTTTTTTTTATTTGCCAATACATCAATTTATACAGTTGAGAGAACACACTATACATACCTACAAAAAACATCTAAGGTTTATCCGTGGCATTTTAGCCGTGATAACTCAGTGCCATACTGTTTTTATAGAATTTTATTTAGATGTACGTACTTTAGTTTAGATTATGTTCTGAAGAGGTAACTTCCAGACCGTTGTACTATCTAGAAAGTATATCTTCAGAACCCTTGATTTATGTTGTTGCAGAAACTTATTCAAATAAGATGGCAAAGACCTGCGCACTTTAAGCTTGGCCAATTACCTGCAGGGCGGCCTCAGCAGCGTCAAGCGCTGGCTTGGCATCCGCCAGTTTGTCCTCGGCGATGGCAGTCTCTGCCGCGATGACGCTGACGAGCTTGACGGCACGGTCTTTCACCTCCATTACCTCGGCCTTCACAACCTCAGCAGCTGCCTGCGAATCTGCTACGGCCGCAAGCACCTGTGGTACATTTGTAATTAGACTACGTTCTTTTTTTTATAGCGACACTTATGGCCACTCAAACAAACCTCTTCTGCTTTCTCTGTTGCTTTCTTAATTTCCATATCTTTTACTTCCAACTCTTTCTTTAAAATATCAACACTAGTTGCTGCCTCTACCAATTTTTCGAGACCTGTTGTCATTCTGAAATTTGAAATTAAATTTATAGACGGTGTTAAAAGTATAAATGTTTCCAGCCAGGATCGCGGGTCTAAGCACAATAATGTACCCAGAGCCTGTTTTGAAGTAAGAGAAGTGCGGGATAGTTTTTTTGTCGGTAAGAGTCTGACATTCGCTCTCGCTCTACCCAGAGTGGGAGAAGAAATTAAATTATTAAAAAAAATACTAAGGTAAGTTAATAAAAAATGTACCTTCTTGCCATTTCGGCAATGCTTTCATGTTTTTCTTTGTATAGCTTTTTGTAGCCTTCCAGGAAGGACAGATATGACTTAGGTGTGACATGCGTCTGCCTCCTGAAGCGTTCATAGTATTGTTCACAGGTATCTGCGACATTATCCTGTACTATTCCCATTATTTCAATTAATTGTTGTTTCGTATCGGGCGAACACACCACCTACAAGTTAATATTATGTCACTGTACTGTCCACGAGTATATTTTAAATGTAAAAAATTACAGTCATTAGTAAATATGAATCAAATATGACTAGGTACTGAAATCATAGTCATCATCTTTTAATATCTAGTTATATATCACTGACATATGTATATGTATATACTTAAGTTGTCTATATATTCAGCTCTTCAGCATCTTTGTCCTGTGTCAATATAATAAATACACCAATATATAACATAGTATTAAAGAAAAAGTCGGCTAAATAGGCCAATAGCACACTAGCACACGAAGTTTACGTTTGTAAAATATATTAATTATTTTATTAAACTAACCTTGAATTCCCATAAGAAGTGATGAGCCACCTCTATGAGAGCTTCTTTAGGCCACTTCTGGAACCAGTCCATTGTAGAACCAGATATAAGACCTGGGAACTTCAAAGCTCGGTTTCTGAACTTTTCACCGACCTAATTATCGTTATAAAATAAGAAGTTATTAATAGTTTATAAAATACTTAGTCGGGTCATAAGTTCTGTCAAAACCTTATATTTTTAATTTTCGATTACTGGCCAGAAATTCTTCGACTTATTTTAAAAATAGAACTTTCGCGCTTGTAGAAAATAAAAAAGAAATTATTTTTTATTCATTTTTAAATATGGAGTGGTCGAATAAAGAAGACAGAATCGCGGTTATCGCGTTGCACCGCTGTGGTTACGCGCCAAAAGACATTTTCAATATTCTTCAAAATTTGAAAATAACGTTACGGTTTGTTTATCGTACTATCAAACGATACACCGAAGAGTCAAGCTTCGAAGATCGTAAGAGAAGCGGCCGACCTCGCACAGTTCGGACACATAAGGTCATCAAAGCAGTGAAGGCGCGAATCGAACGAAATCCCGTACGTAAACAAAAAATCCTAGCTCTGCAGATGGGGCTAAGCAGAACCACTGTTAAAAGAGTACTAAATGAAGACCTGGGACTACGAGCTTATCGTAAAAAGACAGGACATTTTTTGAACGAGCGTTTAAAAAAAATTAGGCTAGACAGATCCCGCGCTTTGCTACGACGGTACGCGGGAAAAAAATACCGCGAAATTCTTTTTTCGGATGAAAAAATTTTTACTATTGAAGAAAGTTTTAACAAACAAAATGATAAGGTGTATGCCCACAGCAGTGAAGAAGCAAGCGCGCGTATTGCGAGGGTCCAGCGTGGGCATTACCCTTCCTCATTCATGGTTTGGCTTGGAGTCTCATATTCAGGCGTAACTGAGGTGTTTTTCTGTGAAAAAGGTGTGAGAACTAGTGCCGAAGTTTATCAAAATACTGTCCTAACAAACATAGTGGAACCTCTTTCTCAGACAATGTTCAGGAACAGGCATTGGATATTCCAACAGGACTCTGCACCGGCTCATAAGGCACGAAGTACGCAAGACTGGTTGATCGCTCGTGGAATTGACTTCATCCGGCATGAAGACTGGCCCTCTTCTAGTCCAGATTTAAACCCACTGGACTACAAGATATGGCAATATTTGGAGGAAAAAGTCTGTGCTAAACCTCACCCGAATTTGGAGTCTCTCCGAGCATCTCTGGTTAAAGCAGCGGCAGACATAGATATGAATGTGGTGCGTGCAGCGATCGATGACTGGCCGCGTAGATTAAGGGCATGTGTTCAAAATGGGAGAGGGCATTTCGAATAATGTAAATAAAATTATATTGTACATTTAATGACCTTTCATTTCATATATAATTTTTAAATAATTGTCAAAAGGCGTATAAGTTATTACATCAAAAGTTTGTGACAGAACTTATGACCCGACTAAGTATAAAGCAAAAAAGTAAAAATGTTAGGTGAAAAAAGGGGAAACTGCAAGTCGCTACACGAAACTAAACCATAAATAGGTACTTTTAAAACGTTAAAATAGAATAACTGTATAAATAAATAATGTTTAATAGTCTGTCGTCTGTCAGTCTGATCGTCAGTGAAGCTAGGTGCTCGTTCCAAAGTGAAGATTCGAATGGAGAAGAACGAGAAAGAAAATACGTCGGTACTCTTTCTTTAAAAAAATAACAGTTTTGTTTCACTTTTCAATTCACAACTCACAGGTGAGAAGCACATAACAACATGAAGATTGGCTCTGGAGCGTATGATGAAGTACTCATACAACACGTCCGGAACTGGAATCCTTTTTGGCGCATATTTTTTCATTATAGGTGTCAACTCATTCATAATTTCATCTGAAATAAATATATGTAAAAGTAAGTGATCAGCATAAAATACGGGGAAAATCATTAGGTACAGTAATCCTAATTAAACGCACTAAAACTCACCCATTTCTTCCTTGGGGAAGAGGTTAGCAATTTCTCCTGAGCTAAGGATATTGTTGAGGAACTCTAAGAATTGCTCATCTTTGATGTCATTGTCGGTAAATATGAAGGAGATACCGCGTCCCTGGAGGCCAGCGATGCGGTACAATACCTTTATATCGTCCATAAAGTTGTTCACGTTGTAAGATCTGGAAATCAAGAAAAGAGTAGGAGAACACTTGCCCATGCCATTTTAGCTAAACTTTTTAACAATTTTATTGCCCCTCTCCAAAGCTACCCTCTATTCTGTGTCCTATACTCCACAACAGGCCAATAGCACACTAGCATCTTATCTAGCTATCTTGACCAGAGGTTATTAAATACTTGGAAATAAAGCAGAGGTATTTCCCTTACCTGGTTAATGTTATTTGATAAAACGAAAAATTGGCTATAAACGAAGCCAACTTCGTTAAACTTTGTTTTCCAGACCCTCCCACACCTACTAGCAAAGCATTACCACTGAAAATAATTAAAAAGGATAAACAAAATACACAAATATAGTAATGTTAAACAAAACATAATAACAAATAAATAAATATACATGTTATAATAATGGCCAAAGACAGCTTTTTAAACAGCTAAAAACAGTACGAAACATGTGCACGATATATAGAATGTGCATTAGTTACAAATAAAGGCAATGAATGTTGGTCTTAATTAACAATAGCCAAGCATTGTCGAACATTGTCATCGTTAAAATTGGATAGTTTCCTAAGTCAAAAATAAATTAATACGGCGTTCAATAAAATTAGATATAGAAAAATAAACTATAATTCATCGATCCGTCGATACACTAATTTTCGATACATTTTTGACTAGTTAGAAACAACTGCATTGTTAGGTAGCTCACCGTGGAGTATTAATGATGCGTGATATGATAAATAGATGAACCATTGCATCGTGGAAGAACACCAAGTCTAAGTGTGCTCCTCTGATCTGTTCGTTGAACAGATCTTGGAAGCCAACGAGCTTGTTCAGCACGAATTCCCACCTGTAAATGCCTCATCGAATTAGGGTTAAAAAAACTACAGTACATACACTTAACAGTATCACAGCCCACGTATTCGATAATTATTCCAAAGGTAATGTTAAGGAACAATATATATTTTATTTTATTTGAAGGTTTAGCAATTTACTCTTATGCACATGAACCAAGCATTATTTGAAAAAATACTTACGATGGTAATTCTTCATATACTTTGGGTGCATCAGTACTGAAATCTTCATCTTCGTCTCCAGTTGGCTCAACGGGTTCACGTAAGAAATTAACAAAGTAAGTTTCTTCGTCTGGGAATTCACTAACATATTCTGGCAGCTCCTGCGCAGCTGTTTTCCAGAAGTTTGCCACAAACCAATTTTTATCATCAAATGTGGTAAATCTTGAAACAAAAATATTATTTTTTACTGGCCACTTTCGCGCAATTTAACCCGATACTAGGCTCCCTTTGATAGTAACGTGATATTTTATAGCCTTTAGCACTCAGGAATATTGTAGATCAGTGACAGAATTTTGGTAATCCGACCAGCAAACTTACAAATACAAATTTAACCTCTTTATGATATTAGTTCTTATAGAAATTATACTTAAATAGTGATAGTATGTTTTTAATGGAAAAGAGAGGTAAACGAGCAGACCTGCCACATAATGGTAGGTCAGCCTATCGACACCCGAAACATCAGAGTAGTTGCTGTATAACTACGTTACTGGTCTCTTGGGGATTTGAGGATTGGGGTTTAAAAGATCTGAGATATGAATAGGACAAAAATTGAATCTCCGGGCATCTCACACACAAGAAACAACTCCATTGAAGTCCGAGTCCGAGAGTGTCCGTACGGAGCAAATTCAAAACGGAGCCGCCTTGAACAACTGTAGATTGTGATTTTAATCGGGTCCTTTTATTATCTACACCGTCAAATCCACATAAAGAGGTAATAATTTTGCTATTAACTGACACATGGCAAATAACGAAATAGGATTTCTCTAAGAAATATTGCTTGACAAAATTTACGAGGTAAGGGACTCTAACAAATTTCCCGCAAATTTTCTATGAACAATATCGCCGGTATGTACTAGCTCCGTAGGTCGTGGTTCGTATCACTTTGGTCAAGCCCACCCGTAAATCACACACCGCCAATCCATACTGAAGCAAGGCTTTCTCGAATTGAAAACGTAAAGTTAACACACATTATTTTGCAAATACCTATTTATATTTTATATAGTAAATCAATATTGACGTAAAATTACTTGAATTTTCTCACTGTTTCTCACCTGTCTGATATTACTCTCAAGCATTCGTGGAACCAAAGCTTCAGAGCTGTATTAACAGATTGGATTTCTTCTCTTTTTATGTGCAGTATACCTTCCCAAATACGAGATAGATCTCTTAGGTTGAATACATAATGGAACTTCGCAGGAGTTGGTAGCATTTTCACCTGAATTATTTATGTTGTTAACAATAATGTTTATTTCAACAATATTAAAGTATTTATTTCACATGGTCTCTTCGAGTTGGTTTCGATCCCACATACGCCTTCTAAAAGTCCGAGACCCAGTCCCGTGAAGAAGCGAAGAGGTGTAAAAACACAAAATAATATTCTGGTTTTTTTAGGGCTCTTAATTAACTATATGATATTTTTTTATAGTTTTGTTGCACTTACTTTGGTTTGCTGCCACATAATTCGCGTCACTGGAACTAGTTTAGGCATAAACTCTATAATCTTCTTGTCGTAGCGAGATTTACAAAAGTGTCCGGTACTAATTGTATCTGTAATTTTACAAACATGTTAAAAATGCACAAAATAATTATTCAAAGTTTTATCTTATATAATGATATAATATAAATAGATACCAAATATTCTGTCCATGGAAGCTATACTTGGTAGAGTACAGTTGAATATGTTAAACTGTCTCTTCAAACGAGGCGGAATGTCGTTACGACCGCCACCTGTAAATTATTTTAAATTGAATATGAGTAAATGGCTAATAAACCCTTCAACTTACATAGTGTACTTTTTATTTATTTAATTTTAATAATTGTTGGTCTAAATTTTCTTACCTGGATGTATCATAGCACCAAACATTTGAATATCGGCAATTATAAAGAAGTCGCCAGGTTTATCTAGCGAGTAAAAGCCACCGCATTCCATCATTTGTCGAACTATTTCATTAGTTACCTACAAACATGATGTTATTTTTAAATAATTCATTTCATTTTATTATTTTACCACTTTCTATTTTATTTGGATGGTACTACATTACATTCAAATATTAACAGTTCATACGTTTCGTGTACAACCGTTTTAAGTTATTCTTTTTACGAATCCTACTTGTGTAAAATGTGTGTCATTGTCAATCTAAACAATTATAAAAAAAAATGTATGTAAGATATGCCAATTTTTTTTTTTATTAACATAAGGCCACAAGAGGAATTTCAGAACGTTAACTATAATTTGTTTTTATCTACCTGATCGCCCCACTCATTGACCACAGGCATATTTATATCGTCAACAAACACCGTCATGGCTCGCCCACCCGGAGGTCCGTACGTCATACCAACTCTCTTCTCCACGTACGACTCGATTATTCTCTGTAAGAATAAATTACTCCGTAAGTATGAGTTAGTACAATCAATATGGCAACGACAGTTCTGTTGAATAACTCGCGGCAATTACGACAAAAAATATATTACTTAGAAAATAATGAACAACGCCAGCTACTTAGGGTACCCTTTTTTGACGAGACCAAATCATTAAATGACTTCTCTCTTTCCTTTTCCTACTACAGGCCAGGGCCGCGGTATCTTATTGCGCTTGACCCGCAACCCCGCCTGAACATCATCCCTATAGGGCTCTCTGGTGGTCTATTGGCTCTTTAAGGCGCGTGCGGAACGCTACACCACTTGGGGAAGGTATGTTAACTTACTGGTCTGCAATTACTTATAGACTTTTATTCACTCACTTGAAACATATTAGGAGTGGTAGCAGAAGAAAAGTTTACTATCTTAAATAACTTCACTTCATTATCGTACTGTGACATATAACTTTTTAACATGACGGTTTTCGCAGTCCCCTGTTCGCCAATCAATAGCACGGCCTTGTTCTGACTTGCGATTATGTCGATCAAAAACGTGATGCACACATTGTCGAAGTTCGGTACTAAGATAGAAGCGTATTCTGGGATACTGTCAGAGGGATAGATGTACTGCTCTACGCTCTCAGACCTGGCAAAGTACGAATATGTTATAACTAAGTGTGTTGGTGCACATCAATTTGAACCTAAAGTCTATCCCGAGTACAGTATCCTCACTAACCAGTGCTCCCAAACTCCAGTGTTAGACACATTGTACTCGAAGGGCATAACCCATTCCTTAGATTTGGCTCCTGGCCAATCCATTTTCACAGGAAGTTTAGTCATATATTCGGCCATGCGTGTGCGCATATCTAACTCCAGCACCGCTCCTAATGACCACATCATCGCAAAGATGAATAGTCGCTCAAGATGACGGTCTGTGTGGATCTCTGGAAATAAAATTAGTTATGCATGAAAAAAATATTACACTAGTAGGTAACGTACACATACAGTCATCTCTCAGTATTGAAATGTTTTATGATACTGTTAAAAATATACAATTTGGAGATTTTGTTCTCAAAATAGTACAACAAAACCCAACAGTCTTTTTTTGACTAGCAGAAATCATCAGAAAGTTTCTATTCGTTTATCGCATCAACTCTACTTTTACGAATAACATTACTTACTTCCTGGGGGAAGTTCTATTCGGAGTAAACCTGACAGCACGTCTATACATTGTCTGAAAACAAATTAAAAGTAAAGATTACAATAAAGGCGCAAAGATTGCACAGATATCTATGCTAATAGCATACGATAAGGTTGCGACCTTAACTGCTGACTGCAACAAACGCTGCTAATAGGACCCGAATTTGTGCCTATATATGCCTACAGCAAAAGATGTTTTCAATCATATTACATCCTCCTTTTACAGTGTCTTCAAATAAATAAATCTATAAAAAAACGGATCACCAACATGGTATGAACCATGCCAATGACTGTCGAATAATTTTATTGGACTGGATAACTATTTTCTTATAGCGTTTAATTTGGTTAGTCATCATCGTCTTCCTGCCCTTGTCCCGTTTTATTTGGGGTCGGCGCAATATGTTTTTTTCTTCCATTCTGTCCTGTCACTCGTCACGCTATCGCTAAATCCTCTGTCTTCCATATCACTTCTCACACAATCCATCCATATTTTCTTTGGTCTCCCTCTCCCTCTCCATCCATCCACGTTTAATTTGGTTAGTAAAAGAAATATTCGGCATATTCACGGAAAGTTCTGGAAATAGCTCGGATGAGCTGCAAGGATCTGATCAAGGATCTTCAAAATATTACAGTAAGTTCATTATATCGTCATGTTTACTCAAAAGATCTCAATATTGCATTACAACTAAAATCACAAATTAAAAGTGAAATATGACTAATAGAAGATTCACTAAAAATTGAATTCGGAAACCTTATGTAGATGGTGATGTTTACGCTTACGCACCTGATGTAGATAGCTTCTAGAAGTTTCATTTTAACATCTAATTTCTGCTGAACGTATGAGTGCACGTCATCATAGACTTTTTCAAAGACGTTACGGAAACAATCAGCCTCCTTTTGCGATCGTTTTCTTAACCAGCCCTTTAAACATAAAGTAGGTACAACAGATTTGTAACTTAAGATTTTTAGTTTTCCTTCTTGCCAATTTCAATCCATACTTTGTATTGAAATGTGAAAGAAAGAAAGAGAGAAAAATAATTTATTTGTCAAAAATGCGTACCTATACATGAAATCATTCAGACATGCAAGGTATTAATAGTGTGTTGTGAGCATCAATGTTTTGCCGATAACGTCATACAAATATTGTACAGACACAAGCAATATATTAAGTTGCATTTATCTACATTTTCAATATCATTTACACTGTAATATGTTACGCAAAACTTATTTAATTTTAATTACTTTATATGTGAGAAGATTATTGGTCTTATGATTTAACCCACTTTTTGTGCTACTGAGTGTGTCTATAAAATTATACTCTACAATACCTCTAGAATAGGTTTCCATTTAAGCACTGAAGAAGACAAGAACACCATGCCCATCCGACTGACAGTAGCAGGCGACGCATTGTCCACGTTGTCTGGCTCGAACACCAGCTTGCTGTTCTGTGCCATAGTGATACGATCTCCGTTGGCTAAAGTCAACGTCTTGTTATCATCAAGCACCGAATTTAAATTCTCAATCCACACGGCGTCCACTGGCCCATCTGATAGTTAAAAATACTTACAAACCAATAATCTTACCGTAATTTGCATTTAATATACCTTTAATATTGACAATTACGTACCTAATACGATCCAAGTCGTGTCACTTTTTTTCACCTTTAGAGTTCTTCGCCACAGAGTAGAGAATATACCATCAGTCCAGTCATTGGTTGATACGTCCAAACGTCCAAACATTTGAGGTGCTGTAATTGCCTGTGTCAGGATATAATCTTTAATAGTGCTTGCGTAACAGTGCATACACTACTTTTTTCTTTACTATGAGTAGTAGGTAACTACCATGAGACATGCTTAATTTATTCACGTGTTATCATTATTGACGTAAACGTCGTTATTAAAAAAAATCAAATGACTTATCTCGCCCAGGGGAAGGCGAGAGGGAGTGCCAGACTCTTACTGACTAAAATCCCCTCATTTCTTCTCCTTCTCTAGGCCGAGACCTCGGTAACTTATATATATACGTTTGCCCCGCCACCCCGGCTGGACATCGGGCCTGTATGGCCTCGCCTGTGGTCTTCTACTGGCAAATAGAGGCGCGTGCGAAACGCTACGCGCTGCACGCTCGGGAAATGTATAGAGCTACGTTTAAATTGGTACAATTAAATTATCACCTTAGGATTCATTCTCATTTCTCTGTGAGGTTTGCCAACTTCAGTTAGAGCTGCCATGAGTGTGTGAATGCATGTAGTCTTGCCCGAGCCAGTCGGACCCATCGTCATCAAACCGTGTCTTACTAGTGACGTTTCATACAACTGAATGATTTTTAAATTCCAATCTGGATGATTGACGAGACCTGTCCGTTCCGTCACAACGAGAATAGCTCGTTGCATTTCCCTTGATAACAAATTTATATTAAGTGAGAATGAACAGTGGTTGTAACCACAAACAAAAAGTAGGTTACGTACCTTTGAACAGTTTGTGTAAGTTTCATTCCGGGGAACAAATCTTCAATCAACGATATAAATAGGGGTTCGTCTTCGTCTACTAACTTAGATACATTCATTTCCCTGAAAAATATATTAATTTTGCAGTTTGCATATTTGTTTGACACAATTTATAAAACTTTAGTTATTTACTTCAACACTCTCATCATAATGTTCTCCTCTGTGTTATCAGGATTCGCTCGTTTCTGCGCGCCCATAGTTCGCAACACGGACAGAATGTTCCGCAACCCAAAGTCGTAGTGCACCTGCTTAGACAACTGCTCCTCGCACAATTTGTACAATGTGAAGAATTTGCGAGCTGAAATTTTGTTGATAAGGATTACAACAATAAATTACCAATTTATAGTTGAACAATACTATTTTAAAGTATTTTAAGGTTTTACCTAAGACAATGTTATCCTTAAAACCACAGCTGGCCAACTTGACTCTGATAATAATTTGCCTGTCTGGAACCATCATTGCCACCCAACGGAATTGAATCTTCAAGTTCTCCGGTAGCTCTTGACGTCCAGCGTAGCCCGGGTTCATGGTGATGATGAAAGCGAACTCAGGGTTCAAGCTCACTGTATCACCATCACTACATAGATGCATTAGTATCTGAGTGAAAATATTATTCACCAACAGATGCCTGGTACTAACCCTAGGTGGATACGACTTTTTACCTGAAAATGAAGAATTCCTTCTTCTCCCTCCTGGCTGTGAGGCATATGTAAATTTGCTGCGCTGCCACAGACAGTACAGGCAATTCGATTCGATTGAATTCGTCGAAGCAACCCCATGTGCCTGACTGAGCCAAACCCTTGTAAATGCGGCCCAAACCTGAACACCGACGTCAAAATAAATAATTATAAATATATGCTTATAATATACATTCCACTTAAAGATGTGTTAAGAAATAAATATAAGTAGAGGACCTCGGAAGTCCATCTGGTCGGAGCAGTTGAAGACGATGACAAGTTTGCCCAGTGTGCGTCCCATGTCTTTCGTTGTTTCAGTTTTACCGGTGCCAGCGGGTCCGGCGGGCGCACCACCCTGGCTCATGCCAATAGCCTGCGATAATGTGATATAGCACTGATCTGTCAGTGGCGTGATCACAAGTCGCTCAGTTATGCCTAAGTATTCATTCTGCAAAAAAAAATGTATAGTCTCGTAAGTAGTCTTATTACGACGGATAGGATTTGAAAAACGATTAACTTGGCCACCAGCTTCTATGGTGCTACGCATTTGGAAAAGCTACTATCTAAAAGAAAATTTTTCATTACTCAGTTATGAAAACGATGTGAGGAGGAGGACTCCTCATACAAGTTCATGTAGGTATGTAAGAATAATAAATAGCACCATTTTACCCAACTTTTTATTAATTAAACATCTAATTCATTTTAAAGCTATTTATCTAATTTCTAATGAACAAAACTCGTGTGTTAGAAACTTTATATGAGCAGAAAGTTGATAAGCCAGTTAAAAAATTTTTTTTACTGATTGAAAAAGAAGAGATATTATGTGTAATAACATTCATTAAGTGGCGCAGTAATAATATCAATATTGCATCCGTACAAAGCCGGGGCGGGTGGCGAGTAATTAATATATAAAACTATAATCCATACAAACTCATTGTAATTAAGCCCATGCTATTGATTATTACCTGATATAAGAAATCGACATCTGTTATAGAAACCACGCAGTCGTCGCTTTCCTCAAAGTAATAGAAACGGGCTTGTTTTTGCCATTCGAAGTCCCGTGGCGTCTTAATTCGCATCCGAACTAGATCATCGAATATGTCTCTATAAAACAAAATTATTTTATAAACTTAAAGACAACCCTTTATTTTTTAGATAGAAAAAGATTATGGGTATATGTGTATCGATAAAGATGAAGGCGAAGGCGAAGGCGAAGGCGAAGGCGAAGGCGAAGGCGAAGGCGAAGGCGAAGGCGAAGGCGAAGGCGAAGGCGAAGGCGAAGGCGAAGGCGAAGGCGAAGGCGAAGGCGAAGGCGAAGGCGAAGGCGAAGGCGAAGGCGAAGGCGAAGGCGAAGGCGAAGGCGAAGGCGAAGGCGAAGGCGAAGGCGAAGGCGAAGGCGAAGGCGAAGGCGAAGGCGAAGGCGAAGGCGAAGGCGAAGGCGAAGGCGAAGGCGAAGGCGAAGGCGAAGGCGAAGGCGAAGGCGAAGGCGAAGGCGAAGGCGAAGGCGAAGGCGAAGGCGAAGGCGAAGGCGAAGGCGAAGGCGAAGGCGAAGGCGAAGGCGAAGGCGAAGGCGAAGGCGAAGGCGAAGGCGAAGGCGAAGGCGAATGCGAAGGCGAAGGCGAAGGCGAAGGCGAAGGCGATAAAGATAGAGATAGAGATAGAGATAGAGATAGAGATAGAGATAGAGATAGAGATAGAGATAGAGATAGAGACAGAGACAGAGACAGAGACAGAGACAGAGACAGAGACAGAGACAGAGACAGAGACAGAGACAGAGACAGAGACAGAGACAGAGACAGAGACAGAGACAGAGATAGAGATAGAGATAGAGATAGAGATAGAGATAGAGATAGAGATAGAGATAGAGATAGAGATAGAGATAGAGATAGAGATTGACGATAGAGATAGAGATTGACGATAGAACATGTATCTGCCAAATTATTAATTAATTAGACTTAGAGAAGAGAAGATAAACAAGATGGAGTGACTGCCATAGGTCCGCCAAGGTAGGAGTGATAGAGGGGGAGAATATATGAGTTCTATTTTTCAAGAATTTCTCAAAGCCAATGGTATCAAGCATCAAAAGATTATACCGGATTCTCCACAGCAGAATGGTGTTGCAGAACGAGCCAACAGAACCATTATGGAGTAGGTGCGATGTATGCTGATGGATGCCATGGATAAAAAATGGAGCAAGATAAAGGTAAATGTGAATAATTTAAAAGTATTTGGATGCATTGTCTATGTTATGGTAAAGAATAGAAAGAAGTTAGATCAAAAGAGCAAACCACACATTTATGGGGTACACCGAAGAATCAAAAGGATACCGGCTTATTGAATCAACTAATTCTAGATATATTAAGCATTCTCGAGATGTTGTATTCTTGAAAGATAAAAGATAAAAGATAAAAGATAAAAGATAAAAGATAAAAGATAAAAGATAAAAGATAAAAGATAAAAGATAAAAGATAAAAGATAAAAGATAAAAGATAAAAGATAAAAGATAAAAGATAAAAGATAAAAGATAAAAGATAAAAGATAAAAGATAAAAGATAAAAGATAAAAGATAAAAGATAAAAGATAAAAGATAAAAGATAAAAGATAAAAGATAAAAGATAAAAGATAAAAGATAAAAGATAAAAGATAAAAGATAAAAGATAAAAGATAAAAGATAAAAGATAAAATATAAAAGATAAAAGATAAAAGATAAAAGATAAAAGATAAAAGATAAAAGATAAAAGATAAAAGATAAAAGATAAAAGATAAAAGATAAAAGATAAAAGATAAAAGATAAAAGATAAAAGATAAAAGAAAGACCTTTGATGTACGTGTATTGTGATCATTGTTTCTATTTGCGTTCTGTCAAGTGGTATCAGATCTCTCACAGTTTGATCAATAAGACCGTTCAGTAAATCGAGATTTTTCTGATTCGTGATCCTCATGATAAAACGGTCTGCTTTGGCCTTCTTTAAAGCGTACTCTGCATCGCTTGTCCACAATATTTGCATTCCCAACAAACCAGCCTGCAAAGTACCATTTAAATTTATTTTTAGTGGTGGCAGTATTATGTGACGTTCGAAGAATCTTAACTACACTGTGTAATGTAAAAGATAATAAAGTAAGTACCTGGCCAGGAAAATTCCAAAAGCCACTCAAGAATTCAAATTCTGGATCGCCCGACATTGTTTGTGCGATGTTAGCAATTATGTTTTTCACAGTATTTTTCATTGTATCCAGAAGAGTGTTCAACCATATCTGTAATTGTTTCAAAATGGATTTTTAAACGCATTCTTAGCTTAGCGGAAGGCCATTTTTAGCTAGTGTTATAAACCTACATCCATAATAAATTATGTGTGAGAGAACAATGCTTCGGCACTAATGGGCAGGTTCAACTGGAAAATATGCCCTCAAAAAAGTGGTTTGAAATAACGCTTGAATAGAGTTTTGTCGTGTGAGCGAGGTTACCGGAGGCTCAATCTTTGCCCTTCCCTTTCCAAATTCTCAAAGCCATTGTAGGCCTCAGAAGGTACACACGTACGTATTTTACTCCTCTAGTAATGCGGGTGTCTATGAGCAACGCTGATTGTTTATCACCAGCTAAACCGATTACTCATTTGCCGCCTTACACCATAAAAAAGTTTACTATGACTAACACACTACACGAGCAATTGTTTTACCTCAACACCTCCAATGCACGACACCGGCATTTCCAGCTGTATACGTTCACCATTGCTGGAGTTCATATGGGTAATCCTGTCCTTATCGTCGAAATCGACAGTAAACACGGCGTCGAAAATACTTGGCAGATGAGACTAGGATAAATGAAATATAACAAAGTTATAAGTTGCAGCTCTAAACTAATTTTAGTTTTCATTCATAGATATCAAATATGTTTGTGAGAAAAGTTCAGAAAACAACCTTTTACATTTTGCGCTATATCAAATGGACAAATAGATTCATGATAGCCAGCTATAATCAAATTACTTACTTGTATAGAATGAGGGTCCGAAGCCTGCCCAAGAATTTCGAGTAGCACTGGATCGGATACGAAGAAGAATCTGGGGAAAATGAGTCGCTTGGTCTCCAGGTAACCCGTGAGCGACTTCTGGCAAGCCTCCAGCTGCTCGTACAGATGAGGCAGCAGCTGCTTCAGCGTGTCGTCAGAGGTGCACGTCTCCACACAGTTCACTATATCTCGAGCGCGGTACATTATTTTCACGTAAGTTTTGTCGATCCCCTGGTAAAATATTTTTTATGCATTTGAGTCAAATGATTAGATGGTACCTGCGTACTACTTACTCCGAATAGATCCCTATGTACAAGATTAAATATAGTACTTCATTTGCGTGAAATATGTGCCACATAAATTTATAGAGTAGTTGTAAGAATTAAGGTGGTGAAAACATAAAACATACTTTTTAAATGATAAACTAATAATAGGTACTTCCACAATTTGGGAACTAATGGTCTATCATATTCTGTATTTATTGCTTCCTGTTAATACATACATTTGCTTAAAAATAAAACTACAATACAAGTTACATACTGCGAATCGTTTAGCTTCTGCCGGTAGCTGCTTAGCAATATCTCCGCCAACAAATACCGCTTCCAGATACATCCATAAATTCTGGACTTGAAGCCATTTCTCCAAAATCTCGCTGGTACTGACCAGTTTATTTATCCATAATAATATATTTTTCTTAAATGGAGCGTTATATCTAGAATGTTATATACAATATAGGTATGTATATTGTATAGGTATGTTTTTACATAGATTTTTTTACGAGGAAAATCACCCAAATAATTCTTTCGACGATGGTAAGGCAAGAGGGGTGGCAGATTCTTACTGACTAAAAACCACCTCATTGCTCCTACTCCATGGCAAGGTCGCGGTACCTTATTACGCTCGCCCCAACAACCTCAGCTAATTTGTATGTGGATAACATACTAATTTTCAATTTAAATGTTAACTATTAGTACCAAACCTAATCCACATACAAGTTTCGAGCACTTACAAGAGAATATTTGGTTGGTCTTTGATAGCTTTTGCTCTCCAAAATCAGCAACAATCGAATCGTTAATCGATCAAATAGCATAATATTTTAAGTTACAGTTAACAATAGTATTTGAAATGAAGTTAGTTTATTTAAAAACCGTTATTACCTATTTGAAGCCAATGAATTGAGGATCATTAAGGAGTCCTCAAGTAAAGTGATGATTTCCAGGGTTTCCGCGGGTTTAATTAATAGTTCGCCTCTGTTCTTGAAGTTAGCGAATGTTAAATCAACCAGTGCCCAGTCTGCGGTTACTTGTTTCAATTTAGCTTCTATGTCCTTCTCTTTTACCGCACTTATACATATGTCCTAAAACGTTAACAAAAAAACTACTAAATACATTTAAAACAAATCTCCAAATAATCAATTCCCAGTTAGTATTCTTTTTAATAAAAATCAATGCCACTTTTCGTTGTAAACTCAACAATGCCTTTACCGGTTTGGCAAATTTTGGTCTTGACTTATTAGTGATGGTCCAGATAAGGTTTGAACGTAAATCCAAATTTAAAAAAAGTGTCCTTGTGGAGCCGCGGGCGATCGCTAGTGTATTATGTAATAGTATGTAAACAGATTATTTGATTAAATGTGTTATTTGTCAAAAAAATTGCAGATACGAACTTCAACGTCTTCCTTGTACTTCAAAAGTGGCGCCTCCATTACGTTTGCTAGAGTAAATGCTTCAGATTCCACATCCAAGACGCAGTCTGAAATAGGTATGTAGGTCGTGGTTAATTTTGGTACTAATAAGATATCACAAGTATTCTTATCAATAATGAAAGTGAATTTCAACTAACTCATTAGTTTTTCCAATCTTCTCCAGTGTCGGTCTTTCATAGATTTATCGGCCATTAATTCCAGCAAAGGACATGTTTGATTGAAGTCATCGATTTTATTCTTTAGTTCAATAAATGCTGGCCAGTCTTTCATACCTCGCGGCAATTTTCGACATCTGCATGGAAATATGAAAATGTAAGCAAAATCGGCCTTCTTACAAAACAAGGTTATTATTAAGTCTGTATGTTTATCATTTGTCGTACAAGAAGTTTTGGTTTTGGAAACAAAAATCTATCATGAATAGTGAATCATATTGCCTTCAGAAGCCATGTTGAATTACTAGCTTTTGCTCTCAGCTTCGTTTCACTTCAAACTTTACCAAAACAATACCTTTCCACTATACAGTTCTTGTCATAAACAGTATTCACTATACTTTTTATGTAAATTAGCCAAACAATGACATCTAAACTGCATTAAAGGAGATGTGTTTGGGATTAGCCACGCTTGCCTTAAAGAGTCTGCGCGCTCAGTTTGAAGACTGTCCTCCGCACTCTCGACCGCCAACGAAGACGATGAGAGACTTAAGGAAACCAAAGCTTTTCGCTAAACTAAGTATAGACCGCGTACCGTATTCCAGCTTCTCCGCCAAGACCCATCGCAACGCACCAGATTCACCCCGAGTCTTAGTAAACAAAACAGCCCGTGATGCTGAGCCGTAATGTAAGTAAGTAGTTGTAAATACTCGCTTGTCATTTAGTTTTATAATTTTATTTACGTTCCCAAAAGTATATAAAATAGATGTACCTTACCTGACATCAAACTCTGACAATTGCGTAACAATTTGTTCAATTTGTATTTCTCCCCAGGGCGTCTCAAAATAGCCATCGATGGAGTTCATTACTGCCAAATACAAGCTGTACCTGTTTTTGAATAAAATAAAATTATTTAAGTAAAGAAACATTACACAAAACTAGATCAAACAGTATGCATTTCAAACAACTTACAATTTGTTCAACAAATTGAATTCTTTCTTTTTTTGGTGTAATATTGGGTAATCTTTGACTTCCATGCCAAATAGCTTTTCACCGCTAGAGTACATTTCAAATCTCCTCCATAGTTCGTCAAATCGTGATTGGAACATGATTACTCTGCAATTGCACATTAGGTTTATTATATTAATTACAAATGCATATTTAGTTACTTTAAACGCGAAAAATACTTTACCTATCGCTAGCTTCTCTGGCTGTTAGACCGGGAGTCAAGGGTCCGAATTGGTCAAAATCTGCATCAAACTTAAGGACGTCTTCTAAGAACGTGGTTACCCCCTCAGTTAATTCAGATTGCAGTGGACCTTGCATATCTACAATCTTCTGTTGCACTTGTTGGGACTAAAAGAAATGTAAATAAGATAAAAACCAATTTTAGGTGGCAAACGACCTAAATAAATAGGTATAATAAATCAAATACACACAGTCAATAACATGTTCTGAAAAGCGTAGCGTAATCCATACACCATATCTGCGTCCTCTTTAGGAACATCGATGTTGAACTGACTAAACGTGCCGTAGCTTTCTTCAATCAAGTCGAGCTCCATGTCCATACTAAAAATAGTTACAACTGTTATGTAAGTTTATTCTTAGACGTAGATTAGTATCTGTGTTTACGTTTATATTTATGTTAACTCGTATACAAATTATCAGGTGCTTTAAAAGCGTTATTATAATCACAACTGTACAATTGTGGGAGAGCCAGGCTTCGGCACGAATGGGTCGGCACGAATGGATCGGCTCGACTAGAGTGATACCACGGCCTCACAGTAAACCGGCGTGAAACAACAACAGCTTTGTGTTTCGCCCTGTGAGTGAGGTTACCGAAGGCCCAATCCTTCCCCTCCCCCGATCCCAAAATTTCCAAGTCACTTATCACCAAAAGGTCGGCGATGCACTCGAAACTCTTCCGTTGTTGCGGGTGTCCATGGGTGGTGCTGATTGCTTAACATCAGGTTATCCGGCTGCTCGTTTGCCGTCCTACCACATAAAAAAACATTTGTGGTAAGTCAACAAAACATAAAAATGCAATGCAATATTACTTATACCTTATAAATTCTTCTCTAATCAGCTCAAGGCACATCATTGCCACTCTAACGTCATCTAAGTCTTTAATTCTCTTGCTCATAGTTTTCATACGATCTTTGATGAACTGTTGCAGCTTGTTTACTCTCTCTTTATAAGCTTGACAGAGTAGCCTGCCTAGGATCCTCTTCCATTCAATCGATTCTAAGTGTAAGGCCAGTTTTATGTCATCTATAAGACAGTGGCATGTTTAAAGATACAAACCATAGACTTAACGAAATTTTGATCTATTTTCAGTTTAAAATGGTTTTTTTATTAATAATTTTCCTTTGCACATTACCAATCAATTGCGGGTCTCATAGCAGTGCTAATGAGAGATAAAATGCATGAAAGAGATAAAAAAAACATAAAAAATTATAAATATACCCATATTAATTTGAATGGAGCCGATAATGTGCCTTTGGGGTAGACCCAGCACTTCCTCAGTTTGTCCTTCATACTTATGAAGCATATCCTTTACAATAATATTCATGGGGTTGGAATCTACAAAGTCTTGTACTTGCTGTACTCTGTCTTCCGCCCATAAATGGGAAAATCTTCCGTAGCTCTAAAAATGGAAACAATAGGACTGTTGTACATTTAACTGAATTATTTCATTACTTGACTCTTAATACGTGGTTTGTGCCGGGTGTCCATGGACGGCGCCGATCACGGCATCAGGTAGAATTTTCTCCTGTGTAGTGCAGTCCCCCTGCAAAATTCTAGAAAACTGTTATAGAACCATACCTTCATAAGTTTCTCTATATCTGGTTTGTACATGAACATCATTCCTTGTAACGCCATCACCGACCTCACGATATCCTTGTGCTCCGATACCATTCGGAATAAACTTCTGACTCCACTTACATTAGACCCCGACCGCGAACCTATAAATAGTACCGCTAATGTGTTAACAACACCATAATCTATTTCATTTATTTATTACATTTTGAAGTAGTCTTACAGACCAACAAACAAATGTACAACATTGAACAAGTCTCTAGATAAAAACAACGAAAAAAAATATCAAATAGTAAGAGTCCATTAAAACAAATTTTCAACTATTATTTTATTATCAACGAGATTATTTTATTAATAACAGGCGTCTCGTTTTCATTACACTAAAGTCGATATTCAACTCTTTAGGTTGTAAGGCACCCTGGCCTCACCCTGAGCGGGAGAAGTCATTAGAGGATGATTTAATGATGGTCAATACGCTCATGAAAAGGTCCAATAGCAATTGACTATTTACTAAGTATTTAAAGGAAAGCTAAGTATATGAGGTGTTCTACCCGTTGTGCTTCTTATTGCTGCTAGTGTCAGCGACACCCCGGCCAACTGTTCCTTCTTGATTTGGTCTTGTTGTCCCCACATAAATACGAAACGATGTACATCCATTATACAATTCAACACCACCTACAAAATCAAAAATATGTTCAAATATAAATTTTAGAGTGTAGGAGAACCATGTTTCGGTACGAATGGGTCGGCTCGACTGGAGTGACAGCACGGCCTTACAGAAAACCGTCGTGAAACAACCACAGCGTTGTTTCGCCGTACGATTGAGGTTACCGGAGGCATAATCTTTACCCTCGCCAATCCCGAAATCGACAATTCCATAATCCTCAAAAATCCCCAAAAATTCGGGCAACGCAATTGTATCTCCTTCGTTATTGCGGTTGTCAATAGGCGGCGCTGATTGCCGTCCTATCTATAAAAAATACCATCATACAGTTTTTAGTAACCATAAGTACCTGTGAAAACGATGTCTGGATCTCCTCCAAAGTAGGTTTTATCGATATGTTTGGTATTTGTAAGTACATGTTGGTCAACATAAGCGGTTTTAATTTTTTCTGCTCTTCTGGATCAACAGTCATTGTGAGAAAGCTGTTTAAAGTAGTAAAGTTTAAATATTTTTGTTATTAAGTTATCTACAGCTAAACTTTAATTAATAAAACTAGTTTATGAATAAATAGATTTTTTTTTATTTAAGTAAAGTAGTATTAAAGGACGGAAGGAGGAGTAGTAAAGTAGTACATCCCGAGCGTAAGGCGCGTAGCGTTCCGCGCGCGCCTCAAATAGCCAATAAACCACCACAGACGGGGCCCTATAGGGCTGATGTTCAGCCGGGGTTGCGGGGTAAAGCGCAATGACGCACCGCGACCTCGGCCCAGAGCAGGAGAAGGAACAGGGGGTTTTTTGGGCGGGAGAAGTCATTTGATGATTTGCCCCTCACAAAAAAAAACGCAACTAAATAAAAATGTTATTTTTTTTTACATGTTATATTTTTACAGTTATTTACCTCGACACAGAAGCTCTTCGCCGTAGCAAATCAAGACTTTGTCGGGTGCATTTAATTAACGCTTCTACACATTTTGTAGCAAAATACGCAAACAGCTCATTGCACTCGTTTATCGTGTGATTTATATCATAGCGATCTGGATTCACAATTTCAAGGAATACTGAAATAAAAAATTGTGTCACTTGCTTGTCCAATGAATCGCACATATCAATAGACATATGTAGTTAAACAGTGTGCCTACTTTGTGGACAGTGCAAGTATTAAATTAGGATAAAAAAACGTGTGTAAGATATCTTGAAACGTGATATTTTTTTAATAATTCAGGAGAGATTTGCTTGATGAGCTTTTAAACGTGGCCTTTATTTAAAAAAAGGATAATAACTCGAAAGTTTGCTAGTATCGATAGATGTTTGTTACTCTTTTACATAAAAATATTTTTTTCTGTAATACCAAATATGCTATTTTACATCATAGATGTGATTAGTTTACAATTACACTAAAATAAGTATGTATAATTTTAAAGCGTTTGTGTAAAATTGAACTTTTAAAACATACACTAACTAACAATATAACGTACCTGCGTCTTCAGTGATTACCCTTGTTGCTGAGGTCACTTGTTTTAGGGCTTTTTCTAAATCCAACCTAGATGTTATAATATTTTTTAGTACATGAAGTGCTGCTTAGTAGAACTAACCACTACTAGTTTATATACAGACCATTTATTTTTCAAATCTTGTATAGCCTTAGAAGGGACACTGTCCAAGAACTTGTGCACAAGTTCAATAACCGCTATTTCTGCATTCCAAGACTTCTGTTGAATCTCCATAGCTGACAAAAAATTTAAATATTTGGTTTGGTTAACTAGTTTTTCAAAAAATATGTAATATTTTATTTAAAAATATATGTAGATACGCGCACGCTGCTCATGAATAAGAGTCCCGTTGTGACTTGAAACTAGTTGAGCATTTTTTAGTAAAATTCACATGAGTAAGTCGCTATTTACAATAAATTTAGAATGTGCCACGATAGGTACTATTCAAAAATATGTAATATTAAAACCTCGAGTATATTCATGTCTTTAACGTTAGTTTCATGTTTTTATAATGTTTATAAAGGATTAATTTCGACATCTGACTTCATTAATATGTTGTTTCAACCAGTATTCATACTTCTTATAAAATAACAAAACAATTTGCTTATAGCATCAATTTAATCGCTGAGAGCATACTTATAATTTTTTTTTTTGTTTTTTTTTTTTGCTTAACTAAAACGAGGATGACTTTAATGGTTCCAAAAATGCAATTACCTATTTCATCACGTCTCAAAAGATTTTCTTCGTAGAACACTGCAGGATCTACTGCTTCTTCGGGCAAGTAAACGAGTACGGTTTTCGTTATTGATTTTAAAATTGCATCTATTCGTGCTTCTTTCATGTCTACCACCTGAGGAAAAGAGTTTAAAGAGATATTAACTTAGTTATGTTTGTGACAGTTTAGAAAATAAGTACTTAGCTTTATTTTACGTGACTCTATGAAAAAAATGAGGAATATACGACTTTGATCTTAGAGGCGAGCGGCGAAGACTGTCGTAGGAAGCGATTTGCAGTGCAAACCACGTACGCAAAGCCTTGCCTTGATACGCGGGGCGGCAATAAATTCACGCACGGCGCGATGTATTCCGCGCGCGCCTCAAAGAACTAATAGACCGCCACATACGAGGCATTATTAGGGCTGATGCAGCCGGGGTTGCGGGGCAAGCGTAATAGGCACCGCGGCCTTTGCCTAGAGCAAGAGAAGGAACGGGGGTGTTTTACTCAGTAAAAGACAGAAAGACAGACAATCCCTCTCGCCCCACCCTGGGCGGAAGAAGTCATTTGATGATTTTACCCTTACATAAAAAGCTCTGATCGACTCTCGCTGCGTTTCAGTGGAAACACCTCTTTCCACATTTCAGCCCTGCTCTTTATCCCATGTTAGGGGTGTTATTATTGCAGCATCGGTTGATGACAATGACGATGACTAACAATGGACTTTTTACGTATTATTACCTCTTTAACAAACAAATCCACTTCGGTTAAAACTCGTTCGATGTTTTCACAGTAAGAAGGTATTTCTAAGGATGTCCACGTGATCGTAGATAATCCAGGTTGAAAAGCATTTTCTAATTTGATTAGTTGAGCACGTAGTAATGGCTGGTACAGTTTTGGCATGCTCCTGTTATAAGAATTAAGTACATAAAAACCTACTTAATATAATAATTTACATAATATATAATAATATTATAATACACATTAATTTCAAGGCCATTTAAGTCTTGTCGAAGAAGAAAGTGTGAAGCTTATCCTTGGAATAAACGTACAATAAATAATATAAACCCAAATAATAACCTTCGTATTTGATTGTTCCTGTCTACCAAATGTTTGATCCTTTCATAGTTGCCGAAGATTTTATCTTTACAAAATGCCACAATTTGAGCCCCGTCCGGTACACCTACAATATTAATGTTCATAATTACATATTATCCTAATAATAAATAATATTTTGAATGGAAATGGTTCATACTTAGCCCCAATTGCCACATGTATTCGACCTCTCTTATACACTCTGGTATGTAAATGCTGAAGTTTATCAAATACATATTGGTTACTGGATGACGAATCAACAGAGGAGCGATTAGGCCGAGCCGTACCTAAAATATATAAAATAAAATAATACATTTTGCAGGAGTAAAAAAAAAATAGTCTATGTTATGACATTTATTAAAAAAAAATAAAGTGATACCACGGTCTAACAGAAAACCAGCGTGAATCAACAGTTACGTGTGAGTGAGGTTACAGGAGGTCCAATCCTTATCCCTACCCCATTCTCTATTCCCAAATCCCATATCTTTAATTCCCTTATAACCCACAAGAGACTGACAAAGCACTTGTAGTAAGTCCTTTGGTATTGCGAGTGTCTATAAGCGGCATTGATTGCTTACCACCAGGTAATCCGTCTGCTCGTTTGCCGACCTATGACAGAAAAAACCTAAGTACACCGTTTAGAAAAAAAAGAGAAATAGAATCGATCAATTTTATTTTTAGTAAACATTACCTGTCCAACATTCTCAGCCCAAGCGTGATGATAAATCAATTCAAATTCAGTGAAAACAATTGACAAGACATTATACAATTTTATACATCGCTGCGTATTCTGCAAAATAATAGCAGATTAGTTAATCTATAAATGAACGAAAACATACCTTATCTAATTCTAATAAACTATATTGTTACATACCATATGGGTAATTACTTCGTGGTGCTGTTTGAAAACATCCATGGGGTAATTAATGGTCTTGTTATAAAATCTAATCCACATGATACGTCCAGAAACTGGTGGCATATTCCTGGGCAATTCGGGTTGTTCCTTTTCTTCATTGTACCTAAATAAAATAGTACAGCTTATAGTGTGCAATTTCTAGTTCAGAAATTCTACTGAGGATTTAGGTGTCCGTTGTTATGTTTTGCAAATAACAATCTGGGTACTTATTTAAGTTATTATTGTGCCATTTTAATTTATGTACCAATAACTTTAATTAATAATAAGTTAAAGCGGAACTTATTTGGAGGTGGTGGGAGCACACTTTTATAATATCTATAAATATGAAAACAATTGTTCGTTATTCGTTTTCGTGACACTTAGATTTAAATTGAGGCACCAAAGTATAAAACCCTGTACCAAGATAAATAGTGATATAGATAAAATCAACCCGAGCCTTTGTTTAGGGAAGGCAACTAGTTACTAGATTCAATTCGTGACCTTACCTGTCTCGCAGTGATTCTATCTCAGCCGTATAAGTTCTGATTAAATCATAATACTGATCTTCGAGGTACAAACAGTCTAACTTCAGTTTTTCAAATCGAGATAACAAATGCAATGCTATCTCAGTCGTTGGACATTTATTCACACTCTAAAAGATATATTTATATTAAAATAAATTAAAAATGCATTAATTATATATTATTTATTAACTAGCTGTGTCCGCGGTTTTACACGTTGCTCGACTCCTATATTTGTCATATTGTGACAATTTAAAGCCTTCCATTCATAAATGGACTACCTATCTGTCACAAAAAGAATAGTTCACATCGAACCAGGGGGTCTACTCTTATTCTACGAAAAACGAACTTTCGATCGAAACTTCGCGTGTTTCCTACCACGATTTCAATTCGTTTCGAAATTTCGTTCGAACGAAGACGTTTGACATTTAGAACCTACTCTAATCCTTATTAGCTCCGAACGAACTTTTGAATATGACAGACGATTTTTCGGATTTTTTACTTCAAATTGACGAAACCAAAAGTGTTACCTTTTAATTTTCGTTTAGTGTGGATTTTGTATGAAAATTGTTTGAAATGGCTACAAGAATGCTCTAAATCGAAGCTCTTTTAAGTGAAGAACGTGTAGAGCGTAGAAGGAACCGGCGCTGCCTGCGCAATCTACTTAATATACCTAAGTCAAATTCCGGACTTAGAGTTTGTAGGACAGTCGCCTATTATATGAAGAGCTGTGAGAAGCTAAATTTTAGAAAAGTTTTCAAACAAAAAAATAATAATAATTTATTGTTATGATTAGTTTGCATGTACTTCGATTATTCGGAACGTGCGAAGTTGGTGGAAAGGGTAAAGAAACCGATCGCGGCACAAATATGTAAAAAAGGGCAAGTAAATAAAAATACACTTAAAAAAATAACAGATTTTTATTTCCTAAAGTTCTGCACTTATTAAACAAAAATTTAAAACTTATTATCCTTTTAAAATAAATTTAAATTTTCTAATATAACAAATATAACAAGGAGTATAATTTTAAACAACTTATTAGCATTTTATATAAAATTAAAACAATATCGTTACTGTAACACATCAAAGTAGGTACTTATATGAAGTTAACATAAATGAGCATTATTTACCATATACTGCTCAAAATAAAATTTAACACATTGTCATCCCAGCTACATACATTTATAATTAATATTACATTATTTTATAAAAATATTAAGTAATTAACATTGCATACATTTTTATCAAATTCAACGACAGTTTTCTTTTCAAATGTAGATAGGTAATTGGACATTTAGCTTCGACTCGCTTTGTCACACAGTCTTCTTCCACCACTACACAATCAATATTAACGCACTTAACGCATATTATTATTCGCATTAATTCTTTGTTCTTCCACATGTTCTGCTAACACCAATTTTACATTTTACACAGTCTGGGGTTGGAAAATGATTGTGTGTATAACACTCAAAACCTGTTTTTATAATAATATCCATTTTATATACAATTCAATAAAATGCCTTTCTCCACACATATTTATTGTCTTTTATATTATATTTTATTAACTCGCGTTGATAAAAATAAACAATCTGTTGACATTAATTTTTTGACACATGTCGTGCGCGGTCCGAATACAGCCATTTTTGGTCGTCATACATAACAACCCTTTCTTGGCATGAAATAGTACTCTTTAAATTAGTCGGTTATAAATGTCTGTAAAAGAGTTTTTTATAAAGTAACGATGATAAATTACACGATAAATTACAATTCCGTCAAAAATAAATATATTTTTATTTTCTGCGTGGAATATTATAAATAATAGTTTAACAAACCACATAGACAATGTGGAATTCAAAGAAACAGCCAGAGAATTTGTAATTTTAACTTTAAGTAAAAACCGTAATTTACCACAAATCACATTATAAAGAACCTACACAATTACATTCGTTCACGAAAATTATCTCTGGACCGAACTTCGTATGTGTGTCCGAAAATAAAACAGAGTAGGGTCGCCAACGTTCTTTCGTTCGAGTTTCGTTTGTTTCCGAAAGTTTCGTTTCGAAGAAAGAGAGTAGACCTCCAGCAGTTTCGAAGATTATCGCATTCGAATTTTAAGTAAAACATTTATACATACATTAATCATGAAGTTTTCAAGCAACAGTTCCTGATTAGCCACCGCATCTTTGTATGTTTTGTAATCTTTGTCGAAATCTGGCCGCCTGTTGGACAAATATTTTTGCTAATTTAGTACTTATGAATAGTTTGCGTAATTCATCTTAAAAATACTATTAATCATTTAAATTTACAAAATGTTACTCTTTGACTGGCTAAAGTATTAAGTTAAAAATTAGATTAGCGGTTAAGTATTAACATATTATTCTAAAACGTTGCCTCACATAAGATTTTTCAGCTTCTTCTGTCACGTTAGTGCGTTTATAAACAAAAAAAAAAACACACACACACAGCATACCCATGCACGGTACAATATATTGTGGTTCACGTTATGAGTTGTTCCGATCATTAATCGAAACTGCAATACGTTGCACGGAGCCAGTTGCCCAGCCACCGCGTCAACCGTCAGTCTATATACCCTTTCCTTATCAATTTACAAAAATAAAGAACAATCAAAATTAACTACTTGACAGAGGTCTGCGCTAAACCGACCTGTGATCCAAGGCATCATATGTTTTCGATGATATATTCTTAAACAGTTTATTGAAATTGCTTGCATATTCTTCAATGCCTTCCAACGTTGTTTTATTTAATACATAATACGTTATGTAGGTTTGGAATAAATCGATAACCTGGGTTAAACAGAAAAGTTTTATTAATATGTAGATCTCGTTAACGTTGTATAAAATTATCAGTTTATGCCCAGTCTCAATAATCTATTTATTTATAGATTTGTTTACACATATAGGATAAATTTCACAGAAAATCTCTTGAAAGGCAAATACAAAGTAATCCAAAAACAAGTAGTTCATAAACAAATGTATTTGGAGTCTTCTTTTCGACAAACAATGCCTGTGTTAGGAGGCTCCCGGCTTCCGTATCTTTGATGAGGTAAATAGTTTAATGAGACGGGTCCTATTATAAAAACTCACTTTTGTAAGTCTAATTCGGAAAGTTTCAAATTTGCCAAAAATATACATTTCTGAACAGTCAAAGGGTCTTTCATCGGCTGCTTCCATCATTTCTTTTTGAGTCTCCGCGTAGCACTCGCGGTAAAAGTTGTATAAACTTAAACACAGCTGCAACACCAAACGTTTTCTTGTTATTTATTTAAACACACACACAATACTTTGAGAGGCGTGCTAAGAAGTTCATCAACAACGTGGACTTGTGGATGCAAGACTTCAGACTAGACAAGGGCGCAATGATGCAAGTTTTTTTTATTTTTTATCGAATGCGTGCATTTCGGAAAATCGGCAGGTCGTCATTACTTCATGGTTCATAACCGTTAAGGAGTGGAATTCTTTACCAGAGTTTGTGTTCTCCGAAGGATATTACCTGGTTGTCTTTCAAGGCTCTAATGAATAAGTTGCTTTTGGGTAAGCATGCTACATTTTAGGTCGCATCGTTGCTTACTATCCGGCAGGATAGTGGCAAAACGCCAGCCCAATACAAACAATAATAAAAAAAAACTTCAATACATCATTTTCACACAGCCGTAGACTTTGATACAAAACAAGCACTTACTTTTGCATTATAAATAAATTTCAATTTATCTTGATTCCAAATATTCTTTTTGCCGTCTTTGGTAAGAAATTCCATGCACATATTAAGTATCTGGTTAGTTACTTTGACGAGTAAAGTAGAAATCTGTTTGGTAGTATTATAATATCTGGATGTAGCAAATATCATACGGATTGTGTACAGCAAGCCAGGAATGTATTGTTGCGTTGTGGATGGGTCACACCTGAAAGCCGTAAACACGTCTGAGACGAGGGCCATGACGAGACTGTCACCAATCTACTTTACGACACAGTCCTAAATCTAGAATAGCATTTCGCTAGTAATTATTGTAAACTCACCTGTATAGTGGTTCGCAATATTTTTCCAAAGCATATAAATACTTGACATTGTCAAAGGCTTCATTATAGTAATCAGTGACTAGATTATCCAACTGTCGCCATTTCTGTAACATGCAAGCATGTTGTGATACGTAACAATATTGAATACGCTTACCTTGTGGTTATTAATAACTATGGACCCTCGAAATCGCTTGAAACCAGTCGAGTTACCTCGTAAAACACAAATTAAGAAGGTTATAAGTACAGTCAATATTATATGTATTACCTTTAAAAGCTTAGATTTTGCTCGTATTAATATGTGTATGTACATCTGCGTTGGTTCACTCTTGATATGTTCGATTATGGACGTGAAGGTCGTGAGCTGACGGCGCCAGTGATCCAGCTCAGCCAAAGGACCTATATTGGAAGGTTCACGACGCAGCTGTTGACTTTGTACTAACACCTAATAAAAAAAGAATTACATAAATACCGACTTTAGTTTCAATCCTATACCTTATACAAATATGTTTAAGTGTCAATTTACCATAGTAATCTGCCTTATCCACTGTTTAACATACGTGCATATTTCTTCGAGTACATGTGTTTTGGTTATAGCAAGCTTCATTTTTTCCTCATCAGCCAGCTCATCCTCATATAAGGCGTAATTAATCTTGAATCTAGTACAGCAGTCCAAATCAATTTTTGTTTCTAAAAATATATGATGACCAGACAGGTAAAATGCAAAAGAAAATTTCTGTATACGGTTAATTACCTACTACTAGTTTTTAATAATATCCTAAGCATGCCTTTCTTTTAGGGTTGGTTTTAGTTTTTTATAGATCTGTTGTGAGACATACATAAACAGATGTATAGATGACTTAAAATAAATCTAGGTACGGCCTCACAGAAAACCGATATGAAGCAACGCACTTTCACTGTGTTTCGCCGTGTGATTGAGGATATCGGAGGCACAATTCTGCCCCACAAGAAACCGCGGTACTACCGAGTGTCCCTGGGCGGCGCTGATTGCTTGCCATCAGATAATCTGTCCGCTAGTACAACGATACACGTATGACTTCAAAACATTTTTGGTGCAACAAATAGCTAATGAGTTTAATACTAAGTGAATTTCTATTTTCTTATTTTTGAACCAAATAACTATACAGTAAACTTAACAAAATCTTACACACGTTTGAACACAAGCGAACACTTACTTGCGAGGTAATCAACAAACAGCATGATCTTGGAGATATACGTATTGATGATAGTCTGACTGTTAGGATTAGGCGGGTTAATGTCTTCCCAACCCTGGCAGGTCTTGAGTGCCGGAATATACACACGTCTCATTGTATGGTATATAGCAGACACAACGTTGTTTGTTTCCGGATTAACATCGAATACAACGAAGAAATAATCCTGGGAGTGAAGGTATGTTACAATGTGACCGCATCAGCAACAAATAAGTCAATACACCTAATTCTACTAGCAGCTCGTCCATACTTCTCGCCTCAACCAACCAACCAACAAAAAAAATACTGACACCGTACCTAGGTGTCAGTATTACCTAGGTGTTAGCAACCCGCCAGGTTTCCGATAATTGGATAAAGGTATTGTTTCTCAATTCTGCCATCAAATGTTTGAAAATTTTCATCCATAAATAAGAGTCTTCTTTCGACTTTAATAAACATAGCCTAAAGAGAATTTGCTATTTTTTTTGGTTGGTTAAGGCGTTGTTGAGTTATTCGCAACAACACATTTTACGGTTAATTTTTATACTATTGTATATAAATTACAAGATTCTGGACTTGACTACTTTGCTGCTGTTTTGGTTCATAATTTATAGTATCATGGACATACGGAATATATTTTTGTAGAATCACGTATGGTAAGCCCCAAAAAAATACGCGTTGAACAGTAGGGTACACCTCTCGCTATGTTGTAGATTTGGTGTCGCTAGCTGCTAGCTGAGTCCGCTAGTATGAGAATATCAGGAACAGTTAAATTGCAATAAGGGCGCGAATCGAGCATCGTACTTCACCATCCTTACCATATATTACGAAACAATTTCAAAAAATTCGACCCATTCATGTATCATAAGTAACTCAAATAAAAAAATAATAATTACGTCTACTACATTCTTGGCGTCAATAGCTTTCGTCTTGAATCTATACATAGCAACACACTTGCCCTCAGTGCCAATAGTTGATGCATCAGATAAATACGTCCTTTCCATTTTACCTCTCTGATTGGGAACGAATCGACCAGATTCTGAAATACCAATCAAAAATTGACGAACGCCGGTTGGCATAATTGCAGCTCTGTATACCTTGGGCGTGTGAAGCCACTACGAGGGTATTAGACACCTGAGAATTGCTTTGCCAGTCTTAACCTTAGCCTTGGCACTATTCCGTGAGCTTACTAATGCCAAGGTAGCTCTCAGGTGCCTGAAGACGCCACATCACAATGACGTCTTCAAATGATTGCAGTGCCACCAGTTGGATGCGGTCTGCATTATACTTGATAATGATTTCGAAACACGGCCAAAAAATTTCGTTGTTGACAGTATTCAGCAACAACAAAATTGCCTACTATAATAAGTTCTTATAATAAAACACTCATTTTTGAGTTTCTTTTGGGAGCTTTCTTTACGTAAAGTTTTTTACTATACATTACCCATTTTACAAGGTGGAAGCAAGGCGTCACACAGGACAATACAATTCCTGCCACCTTCAGCAATAGCGCTGTCTAATAATTCTATATGTATATCAGCATCGTAAACACCTTCCTGCAAAGTGATAGTGGTACCAAATGACATTTTGTGTAAAGAATAATATACATACTCGTATAAAAACAAGTGTGTTCATTTTGTGAACCTATATTTGCTGTTATTCCTGCAGAAATTAATAAAAGTGTAGCATGCAGCAAAAATTTGTGATAGGATCCAGACAAGTGCCTTGCATAGTTTCACATATTTATACACAGATGTCGTGGTGGCCTGGAGGTGAACGCGCCCGCTTCCCATGCATAAGAGTGCGGGTTTAAAGCTTGGCAAATACCAATGTGACTTTTTCTGAGTTATATGTACTTTCTATGATTATTAAGACACCACTGACATACGGTGAAGGAAAACATCGTGAGGAAACCTGGACTTATAATTTTCTAATTATACATGGTGATTAATATGCTCAAAACCTTCTCCGTGTGAGAAGAGGCCTTTGCTCAGCAGTGGGCACTTATAGGCTGATGATGTGACACACAGGTGACAATAAGACCGCGTTAAGGCATTGTGCGTTCATCGGGCAATGCAGCAGCAAGCCGGGGCATCGGCCCCGCTAATACAATATAAATGACCCATGTGTAATAAACCGTACGATACACCACGTCGCCGTAATTGGCCTTACACTTACCAGGACATATTCATTTGGTCTATTCAATAGAAGCGCACAATTCTCAAGTAAATATCTATGCTGTTGCTTGAGACCACCCATGCGGTTGTTACGAGCTTCTTTAGCTTTTGCCTACAAAGAAAACAATTTTAATAATACCTTCTTTCAAAATGTTTGCTTATAAATGAAACAAATAATTTAGTGATCAACTTTATTTACTTGCTTGTCTTTATAAGATTCGTGAGATAAAGCCAATGTGCTCATTGACAGTCTGCTCCTCCTTTGAATGCCTGCTATACGAGAGCTGACGTCCAGTATAGCTTCCAAAGCAGTCTTGTCCACTTCGACCCGCTCTCCATCTGTAAACGACATCTTTCGGATTGACGACATCTTTTGGGAGAGAGTTCGAGCGACCTCGGCTATCTTCCTTTCAGTTATTGTCAAATCATCTTCCTCATCCGCGTAACGCTCTGGTTCTTCTATGGCTACTTCTTTACGTCCTGGTTGAGGCCCCTCTTCAGGTACTGCGGAACCTTCTTCCTGTGGCGTCGCATCTGGAGCAGGTTCACCTTCAGGTGGTACTGCAGTTGCTTCATTTTCTTCCATTATTTACTGAATACAAAACTAAATTCGTAATCCCTAATAAGTTAAAATATATTTCTAATAAGTTTCACGCAAGTCAATACAAATAAAATTACAAGGTAATGTCAAATTCAAATCAAAATGTAATACAGAATTACGTCCTGCCAGTTATATACCAATTGTAGTTACAAATAAAAAGACGAAGTATTGCATAATTCCTTTACCTTTTTTATAATAAACGTTATTTATTAAAAAAAAAGATCCTAAAACCATACCATTATAGTTATTATAGTCATACTTACGACTTATTAGACTTAACTATGAAAAAATCGATATCATATTCATATTTTCATTGCATTTTATTATAATTCGCCTTTCTACATTGACATCTGAAATTGAAATCTAACATTTATTTTATATTTGCAATTTTTGTGGCGTGATTCTCATCAAATGACTTCTTCCACCCAAGGTGAAGTGAGAGGGAGTGTCAGACTATAACTGACTAAAAAGCACCCCATTCCATCTCCTTCACCAGTATAGTACATTATTGCGCTTGCACGCACAACACCGTTTGATTATTAGCATATTGGGCCTCAACGTGATCTATTGGCCCTTTGAGGCGTCTGGTTAAAGTCGAGCAACGAGCCCCCCATACTTGCTGTCCACAGATCTGCGCTTACGGTAGTTGAAGATCGTCACACAGTTCCCGACGCCCTGAGTATCTCCTCCTCCACGGTGGCTGGGGCCTGAGGAGGATAGTTCCTTACGAAATCCTTCTTCTATTAAAGATCAAGATCTGAATAATTTTTTATTGTTTAAAGCATCTCAAAAATTTGAACACATTTAAAATATATTTAGAAATAGTTTATTAAAAAAGCCTTAAGCGGAAAATACAAAAAAGATAATAAGTATATAAACAGAAAACAATAAGAATACAATGCACTATATCAACTAAAAAACAAATCATTTGATATCGCACAACATGGCAACTCCTCTTAAAATCCAGTGGTCCGAGTTTTTGATAGTGGGCAGCCAAAGCGGAGTAATGAAAGTCAAATCAGTGCGCAACGGCTTCTTATACAAAGGACACTGGAAAAAGAGAAATGTAATAGAATTGATTAAGAAACATTAATACTCAAAAGTGGATTTTCAACTTACCTGATAGAGTTTATGGTCCTTTGGCGCAGTGGAATTAATCGCGTATATGTGTACTACCGGTAAAGCGGTGTATACGATTTTTAGAGTAGATTCGCACAGGCGCATATTCCGGCGGTCCCAGCCCGCACCATCCAAATATAAACCGTGGACAAATACTCCTTCCTGAAATAAGATAATTTAGTTTATGAATACTTCACAAGATCAGCAATATTTTTGTTTTGTACGTTATATTTCGTACGTCTCACCGGTGCTGGAGTCTTTACTTCCTCGTAAGTCAGTTTAGTAACATCATTGTGTAAGGTGACCATATCGAGAGCCCAGCCTTTGTGTGCTCGAGTTACTTCCTGACGCATGGCGGTCAGAAATCCTAAAATTGTAAAAAGGTACTATAAGTACTGTGTGCACCATTTAGTTTTCTATTTTACCAAATACATACTTTCAATTTGAACGTTTTGTATTAAAACTACTTACGTACTACGTTAGAATGTTTTTTTCGACACAAAGCTAGTGAAGAAGGCATTGCGGTGCCAAGGTTTCAGACATTGGCACCGCAACGTCTGAATCGAGAGAAACTTTTTCCTTATCTCACTTTCTTGGTTTTAACACGTACCAACAGTGAGAATAATATTATGTAAAAGAATAAGAAAGCATAATTATTATTTTACCTTGAGGGTTGAAGAAACCAGTCATCCAGAAAGAGTTTGGTCTATTTTGAAAACACCAATTCGAAAATTGTATAGTTCTTTCCAATAATTCAGTAAACCAAAAACCTAATGTCGACGATGACCATGAATGTTTCAACCAAATTTTTGGGACTTTTGCGTCGTAAATATTGTCTAATGAATCTCGAAGTGCCTATAATAATACAACATACGTAAATAGTACAGTCTACTCAGATCAGTCGAAGCTTATGTAATGAATTTAAAGCAAAAAACATCCTACCTCATTCATTATTATAGTTCCATCAATAGCAAGCAATAGATTCGTCAATGTAGATCTTACTAGCTCGATAACTTTCTGCATTCTGTCAATTTCTTGTCTCAAAAATATAACCATTGAATTAAGTGTCCCATACAATCTTAACCTAAAAAGAAATTTTATTACTTCTGGCAAAATATGGTATTTTCCTAATTTCAGATTAAATTCCTATTTATTTACCTGCTTAAGACTTCATGTGGATCAAAGTTAGGAGGAACTTTGTCTAACATTTCTTTAGTCTGTCTGTATACTGAGGCTTCACGCGTTTCTCCAACTCTACCACTTGCTTCCTTTGGTTGTATGGATAATATTGTATCTAAAAGTTCCAGTGTAGTATTACGCTGGTAACTAAAAGTTATAAATTATGTGTTACAATGAATTGTTGAAAACAAAGTCGAATAAACAACACCGCTAAACATTAAACTAACGTTATGTCTGCATTGGTGTGCAATCCATACACTTGAGGGGGATCCACAGTTTTCATGGTCTCCATAACCTCAAGGTACTCGGGTATATTTTTAAATTTAAGCATGCCATATCCCTTGTAGAATTGAAAGTCATCATTAAAAAGTTGGTCTGAGAACAACACCTTACAGAAGGTTACCAACAGCCGCGTGTCATAATCATCAGTCACCCGCCCGCCGTATTGGACCGCTGACAACATATAACTGAAACATATATCTCCTTTATATAGAATCGAAGTCATAATAGTTCGAAGACGCAGAAAGGATCTCTTACCGCACAGTTGTCCAGCTAACAGGCTGCCCCGGCTCTAATGAATCTAAATGGTTCTGCACAAACATACAAGAAGACAGCCAATCAGCAGAATTAAATTCGTAAGGAATATTCCATCCGAGAGGTCCAAACTTCCGTCTCTCTTGCACCACTGTGTGTAAGAATGAGATAGTGTAGATCAGAGGCAAATAGAAGGGACTGTCACTGTAGTCAAGGAAGTCCTGATTCATCGCGCCATATGTCCTCATGAGTCCCGCTTTCATACCTAAAAATTTTAACGGAAGCATCACATTTAAGACTTAGCAGCAGGTCCAAAATCGGCAGTCTTATGATGTGAAACTTACCAGAAGGTGGCTCGCATGTATATTTAATAGACATTTGCAAAAGGGTAATAGGAAACTTTGGATGCACTTCCGTAGTAATCCAAAGTCTAAAATAGCAAAGAGGTAACATGTTAGAAACATTTCATGTATTTATTGTATGAATACGAAGTATGCGATATAAGGAAATTACCTAAAATGTTCATGAACCTTTTCTGGGGTCTTCTCCAGTTCACTAAACTGTTCCATGACTTCCGTCATATAATTTAATCCTAAGTGACAGTTTTGCAACAACACCCAAAACCCCTATAAAATTAGTTTTTACTTTATTGTACATTTCATTTAAATACGTATATTACACCAGACCTCAATATCACCTCTTTCAGTCCTCGATCTATAAGTTTTCTTGCATGAATCTCTTGACCTTGGCCCATAGATATGGATGAACAAACGGTCTCTAGACGCTTAGCAGTTATCTCGATTGAAGGCGTTGGATCAGACCCCATGGCCAAAAAGCCAATCATGGGAACCAATGGACGAGATTGTAATACCATTTGCTGAAAATATATTTTTTTATTTTAATTCAAAAGAACCTTAAACCTATTTCATATTTGCATCGTAAACGTACCTCATAGTTAACTATGACGGCTTCAGAGTACCGAGCTCCCATAGAACTCACGACATACTTCCTGAAATATTTATATATCAAAAACAAGTACATTCGAATTGGATGTAAAAAAATATATTTTAAACCACTCACAAGCTCTGTGCTAAGGTCCTGTCGGGACACCACGAGCGGACAACCAACAGCTTTCTAAATACGTCTAAAGTGTTATAGCCGTCAGGTAATGATTCATCTTCTGGCAGTTCCTTATCAAACCTTTAAAAAGTATTAGTACATAATACAATACACCGCAAAAACATAATGTAACTGTTGTACTACTACTTACCAAGCCTTCCATCCTCTCTCATTATTAGAAATTTGAATGATTATGTCCGTAAACTGACGCAGACTGGATAATTGAACTAAATTTAGCCAGGACATGTCGGTTATCCATTTATACGGTTTAGGAGGACAGGTATTAAGATCTAACGCAGCGCCACCTGAGCAATTAATAATGTGTATCATAAAAGAGCAGACAGATTACCTAATGCTAAGCAATAAGTGCCGCCCATGGACACCCTTAACAACGGAGGAGTTACGAGTGCGTTGCTGACAATTTGAGGATTAGGGATTGGGCTGGGATTGGGGGAGGGGAAGGATTATGGGCCTCCGGTAACCTCACTCACACGGCGAAACACAAGGCTGTGGTTATTTCACGCCGGTTTTCTGTGAGGCCTTGGTATTACTCCGAGCCGACCCAATCATGGCGAAGCACGGCTCTCCCACACTTCTTAGTAATGAATGATCAATTTTTGATATTTAATAGTTATAAATTACTTTTGATGTTTACCTTTGATAAAAATCTGAAATTCTTCAAATTTAATATATTCTCTCTGCAAGTCTATGTTCAATGTCAAAAGTATAGTAAATAAATATTTGTGCTTCTCGTAGAATCCTCGGGAGATGAATTTGAACACGTCGTAAGTCTGTTTAGATAACAATATTTTTAAACAAATAATTTACTACTTTTTTGTTTTGTCAATTTCGTTTATTTTGAATAATAATGATGAGCCTCATACCAAATAGTCAATTATGAAACCGATTCTTCGCAGCATAATGGGACTCCGCGGCGATCGCTCCATAGATAAGTCGAAAAGCTCCAAAAACTGCGCCAATGAAGTCTGGTACATATTGCACACCAGGGACATGTTGCAAATGAGGAAGTACAG